GTCTCAAGAAGGCAAGTTTTATTGCTTCTTTAATCAGCAAAACAGTTTTCAGCTGTGCTAACATAATTGCAAAAGGGTTTTCTAATGATCAATTAGCTTTTTAAAATGATGAACTTGGATTAGCAAACACAACGTGCCATTGGAACACAGGACTGATGGTTGCTGATAATGGGCCTCTGTACGCCTATGTAGATATTCCATTAAAAATCAGCTGTTTCCAGCTACGGGTCTGACTTAGAATGTGTGGACAACTACAAATACCTAGGTGTCTGGTTAGACCGTAAACTCTCCTTCCAGACTCACAATAAGCATCTCCAATCCAAAGTTAAATCTAGAATCGGCTTCCTATTTCGCAACAAAGCCTCCTTCACTCATGCCGCCAAACATGCCCTCGTAAAACTGACTATCCTACAGATCCTTGACTTCGGCTACAAAATAAAAAAATTACAAAATAGCCTCCAACACTCTACTCAGCAAGTTGTATGTAGTATATCACAGTGCCATCCGTTTATATATCACAGTGCCATCCGTTTTGTCACCAAAGCCCCATATACTACCCACCACTGTGACCTGTACGCTCTTGTTGGCTGGCCCTCACTACATATTCGTTGCCAAACCCACTGGCTCCAGGTCATCTATAAATCACTGCTAGGCAAATCCCCGCCTTATCTTAGCTCACTGGTCACCATAGCAACACCCACCCGTAGTATGCGCTCCAGCAGGTATATCTCACTGGTCATCCCCAAAGCCAACACCTCCTTTGGTCGCCATTCCTTCCAGTTCTCTGCTGCCAATGACTGGAACGAACTGCAAAAATCTCTGAAGCTGGAGACACTTATCTCCCTCACTAACTTTAAGCATCAGTTGTCAGAGCACCTTAACGATCACTGCACCTGTACACAGCCCATCTGAAATTAGCCCACCCAACTACCTCATCCCCATATTGTTATTTATTTTGCTCATTTGCACCCCAGTATCTCTATTTGCACATCATCTTCTGCATATCTATCATTCCAGTGTTAATACTAAATTGTAATTATTTTGCACTATGGCCTATTTATTGCCTTACCTCCATAACTTATTACATTTGCACACACTGTATATATATTTTCTATCGACTTATGTTTTGTTTTACCCCATATGTAACTCTGTGTTGTTGTTTTTATCGCACTGCTTTGCTTTATCTTGGCCAGGTCGCAGTTGTAAATGAGAACTTGTTCTCAACTGGCTTACCTGGTTAAATAAAGGTTAAATAATAAATAAATAAAATAAAAAATCAGCTTTCCAGCTACAATAGCCATTTACAACATGAACAATGTCTACACTGTATTTCTGATCAATTTTATGTTATTTTAATGGACAAAAAAATTGATTTTCTTTCGAAAACAAGGACGTTTTTAAGTGACCCCAAACTTTTGAACGGTAGTGTATATGCTGTAGTAAATGTTTACAACTCATTAATAAATGGTCAGTAGGTGTCCACTTTCTTTCAAGGTATCTTTTCAGCATTTATAAATGTTGGGAACTCATTTGTTAATGGTCAGTGGGTTGCCACTTTAAAATAAGCTATCATTTTAGCAGTTATGTTGATAACTCAGTTATGTTGATAACTCAGTTATGTTGATAACTCAGTTATAAATGTTGATAACTCAGTTATAAATGTTGATAACTCAGTTATAAATGTTGATAACTCAGTTATAAATGTTGATATCTCAGTAAATGTTTATAGATCTGTGACTTTAAAATAAGGTATACTTTTAGTAATTATATGTGGGTAAATCATTTCTAGATGATTTGAGAGTTTTTTCAGAGCTTAGATGTACTTATAGGTAGTACATTACGGTTACCCATTTCACAGCAGAGCATTCACCATACTTAGTCTATCACAGAGAAGTGGTAAGTGTGTTGATATCATGTGGTATTATGGAGTATTAGGAGTGCTGTCCTAGATATAAGTTGGGCATCAGGATTTCAAAGGTGGGTCAAGACACATCATGATAACCAACCTCTTCTGTTCCTGGGACAGAGCAACAAAGCATCGCACCCAAAAGTGAGAAAATAACTATTTTTCAACTGTGCAACTATTGAAAATAAGGTTTTATGATGAGACATAAGGGTTCATCTTATAAGCATTTTTAAGTGTGTTTATAAATGGTTAATAACGAGGTCAATATTAGCTCACTATTTGGGAAACACTAACCAGTTATTGCACTATTTTGACAAATGTGGTAGAACAGTTTATTAATGGGTTATAATGCATTTACAAATTATTAAATACCTATTAATAATGTAATTATAAACCCTTTACAAATGGAACCTTATTACCGATTTTATCAAATTTCACGCAATTCTACTCATTTGGCCATGGGGCAGAGAGAAAAATGTGCCCTTTTACAGCTAATTTCCTGCAATTCTACATATTTTGCCATAGGGTGGAGAGAACTTTTTAATATGATATCTGAGTGAGAGTGACTAACGAAATTAATGGAGGCCCATCACGAGTGTCTGTTACTGTGGGTTGGTTGGTTGACTAATATATACAGTGGGGAGAACAAGTATTTGATACACTGCCGATTTTGCAGGTTTTCCTACTTACAAAGCATGTAGAGGTCTGTAATTTTTATCATAGGTACACTTCAACTGTGAGAGACGGAATCTAAAACAAAAATCCAGAAAATCACATTGTATGATTTTTAAGTAATTAATTTGCATTTTATTGCATGACATAAGTATTTGATCACCTACCAACCAGTAAGTATTCCGGCTCTCACAGACCTGTTAGTTTTTCTTTAAGAAGCCCTCCTGTTCTCCACTCATTACCTGTATTAACTGCACCTGTTTGAACTCATTACCTGTATAAAAGACACCTGTCCACACACTCAATCAAACAGACTCCAACTTCTCCACAATGGCCAAGACCAGAGAGCTGTGTAAGGATATCAGGGATAAAAGTGTAGACCTGCACAAGGCTGGGATGGGCTACAGGACAATAGGCAAGCAGCTTGGTGAGAAGGCAACAACTGTTGGCGCAATTATTAGAAAATGGAAGAAGTTCAAGATGACGGTCAATCACACTTGGTCTGGGGCTCCATTTAAGATCTCACCTCGTGGGGCATCAATGATCATGAGGAAGGTGAGGGATCAGCCCAGAACTACACGGCAGGACCTGGTCAATGACCTGAAGAGAGCTGGGACCACAGTCTCAAAGAAAACCATTAGTAACACACTACGCCGTCATGGGTTAAAATCCTGCAGCGCACGCAAGGTCCCCCTGCTCAAGCCAGCGCATGTCCAGGCCCGTCTGAAGTTTGCCAATGACCATCTGGATGATCCAGAGGAGGAATGGGAGAAGGTCATGTGGTCTGATGAGACAAAAATATAGCTTTTTGGTCTAAACTCCACTCGCCGTGTTTGGAGGAAGAAGAAGGATGAGTACAACCCCAAGAACACCATCCCAACCGTGAAGCATGGAGGTGGAAACATCCTTCTTTGGGGATGCTTTTCTGCAAAGGGGACAGGACGACTGCACCGTATTGAGGGGAGGATGGATGGGGCCATGTATCGCGAGTTCTTGGCCAACAACCTCCTTCCCTCAGTAAGAGCATTGAAGATGGGTCGTGGCAGGGTCTTCCAGCATGACAACGACCCGAAACACACAGCCCGGGCAACTAAGGAGTGGCTCCGTAAGAAGCATCTCAAGGTCCTGGAGTGGCCTAGCCAGTCTCCAGACCTGAACCCAATAGAAAATCTTTGGAGGGAGCTGAAAGTCCGTATTGCCCAGCGACAGCCCCGAAACCTGAAGGATCTGGAGAAGGTCTGTATGGAGGAGTGGGCCAAAATCCCTGCTGCAGTGTGTGCAAACCTGGTCAAGACCTACAGGAAACGTATGATCTCTGTAATTGCAAACAAAGGTTTCTGTACCAAATATTAAGTTCTGCTTTTCTGATGTATCAAATACTTTTGTCATGCAATACAATGCAAATTAATTACTTAAAATCATACAATGTGATTTTCTGGATTTTTGTTTTAGATTCCGTCTCTCATAGTTGAAGTGTACCTATGATAAAAATTACAGACCTCTACATGCTTTGTAAGTAGGAAAACATGTAAAATCGGCAGTGTATCAAATACTTGTTCTCCCCACTGTACATCACCAGTGTCTGTTACTGTGGGTTGGTCAGTTGACTAAATAAATAATAATATGCCATTTAGCAGACGCTTTTATCCAAAGCGACTTACAGTCATGTGTGCATACATCTTTACGTATGGGTGGTCCTGGGGATCGAACCCACTACCCTGGCGTTACAAGCGCCATGCTCTACCAATTGAGCTAGTGTCTGTTATTGTGGGTTGGTCGGTTGACTAATATATACATCACTAGTGTAAGTTACTGTGGGTTGGTCGGTTGACTCCGGGAGAGGAGGGAGAGAGAGAGAGAATTAGAGGGAGCATACTTAAATTCACACAGGACACCAGAGAAGACAGGAGAATAACACCAGATATAACAGACTGACCCTAGCCCCCCCGGCACATAGACTATTGCAGCATAGATACTGGAGGCTGAGACAGAGGGGGGGTCGGGAGACACTGTGGCCCCGTCCGACGATACCCCCGGACAGGGCCAACCAGGTAGGATATATATAAAATGTAAATGTAAAAATATATCCCCACCCACTTTGCCAAAGCACAGCCCCCACACCACCAGAGGGATATCAACAGACCACCAACCTACTACCCTGAGACAAGGCTGAGTATAGCCCACCAACCTACTACCCTGAGACAAGGCTGAGTATAGCCCACCAACCTACTACCCTGAGACAAGGCTGAGTATAGCCCACCAACCTACTACCCTGAGACAAGGCTGAGTATATCCCACCAACCTACTACCCTGAGACAAGGCTGAGTATAGCCCACCAACCTACTACCCTGAGTCAAGGCTGAGTATAGCCCACCAACCTACTACCCTGAGACAAGGCTGAGTATAGCCCACCAACCTACTACCCTGAGACAAGGCTGAGTATAGCCCACAAAGATCTCCTCCACCGCACGAGCCTGAGGGGACGCAAAACCAGACAGGAAGATCACGTCTGTGACTCAACCCACTCAAGTAACGCACCCCTCCTAGGGACAGCATGGAAGACCCCTCCTAGGGACGGCATGGAAGAGCACTAGTAAGCCAGTGACTCAGCCCCCGTAATAGGGTCAGAGGCAGAGAATCCCAGTGGAGAGAGGGGAGCCGGCCAGGCAGAGACAGCAAGGGCGGTTCGTGCCTTGCCATTCACCTTCGCACCCCTGGGCCAGACTACACTCAATCATAGGACCTACTGAAGAGATGAGTCTTCAGTAAAGACTTACAGGTTGAGACCGAGTCTGCGTCTCTCACATGGATAAGCAGACCATTCCATAAAAATGGAGCTCTATAGGAGAAAGCCCTGCCTCCAGCTGTTTGCTTAGAAATTCTAGGGACAATAAGGAGGCCTGCGTCTTGTGACCGTAGCATACGTGTAGGTACAGTGAGGGAAAAAAGTATTTGATCCCCTGCTGATTTTGTACGTTTGCCCACTGACAAAGACATGATCAGTCTATAATTTTAATGGTAGGTTTATTTGAACAGTGAGAGACAGAATAACAACAAAAAAATCCTAGAAAATCGCATGTCAAATATGTTATAAATTGATTTGCATTTTAATGAGGGAAATAAGTATTTGACCCCTCTGCAAAACATGACTTAGTACTTGGTGGCAAAACCCTTGTTGGCAATCACAGAGGTCAGACGTTTCTTGTAGTTGACCACCACGTTTGCACACATCTCAGGAGGGATTTTGTTCCACTCCTCTTTGCAGATCTTCTCCAAGTCATTAAGGTTTCGAGGCTGACGTTTGGCAACTCGAACCTTCAGCTCCCTCCACAGATTTTCTATGGGATTAAGGTCAGGAGATTGGCTAGGCCACTCCAGGACCTTAATGTGCTTCTTCTTGAGCCACTCCTTTGTTACCTTGGCCATGTGTTTTGGATCATTGTCATGCTGGAATACCAATCCACAACCCATTTTCAATGCCCTGGCTGAGGGAAGGAGGTTCTCACCCAAGATTTGACGGTACATGGCCCTGTTCATCATCCCTTTGATGCGGTGAAGTTGTCCTGTCCCCTTAGCAGAAAAACACTCCCAAAGCATAATGTTTCCACCTCCATGTTTGACGGTGGGGATGGTGTTCTTGGGGTCATAGGCAGCATTCCTCCTCCTCCAAACACGGCGAGTTGAGTTGATGCCAAAGAGCTCGATTTTGGTCTCATCTGACCACAACACTTTCACCCAGTTCTCCTCTGAATCATTCAGATGTTCATTGGAAAACTTCAGACGGGCATGTATATGTGCTTTCTTGAGCAGGGGGACCTTGCGGGCGCTGCAGTATTTCAGTCCTTCACGGCGTAATGTGTTACCAATTGTTTTCTTGGTGACTATGGTCCCAGCTGCCTTGAGATCATTGACAAGATCCTCCCGTGTAGTTCTGGGCTGATTCCTCACCGTTCTCATGATCATTGCAATTTCACGAGGTGAGATCTTGCATGGAGCCCCAGGCTGAGGGAGATTGACAGTTATTTTGTGTTTCTTCCATTTGCGAATAATCACACCATCTGTTTTCACCTTCTCACCAAGCTGCTTGGCGATGGTCTTGTAGCCCATTCCAGCCTTGTGTAGGTCTACAATCTTGTCCCTGACATCCTTGGAGAGCTCTTTGGTCTTGGCCATGGTGGAGAGTTTGGAATCTGATTGATTGATTGCTTCTGTGGACAGGTGTCTTTTATACAGGTAACAAGCTGAGATTAGGAGCACTCCCTTTAAGAGTGTGCTCCTAATCTCAGCTCATTACCTGTATAAAAGACACCTGGGAGCCAGAAATCTTTCTGATTGAGAGGGGGTCATATACTTATTTCCCTCATTAAAATGCAAATCAATTTATAACAATTTTGACATGCGTTTTTCTGGATTTTTGTTGTTGTTATTCTGTCTCTCACTGTTCAAATAAACCTACCATTAAAATTATAGACTGATCATTTCTTTGTCAGTGGGCAAACGTACAAAATCAGGATCAAATACTTTTTTCCCTCACTGTATGTATGGCAGGACCAAATCGGAGAGATGGGTAGGAGCAAACCCATGTAATGCTTTGTAGGTTAGCAGTAAAACCTTGAAATCAGCCCTAGCCTTAACAGGAAGCCAGTGCCATCCAGGACCTATATACTAGGCAGTGTCAGAGGAAGGCCCAAAAAATTGTCAAGGACTCCAGCCAACCTAGTCATAGACTGTTCTCTCTGCTTCCGCACGGCAAGTGGTACCAGAGCGCCAAGTCTAGGTCCAAAAGGCTTCTTAACAGCTTCTACCCCCAAGCCATAAGACTCCTGAACTATTAATCAAATGGCCACCCGGACTATTTACTATTTGCAATGACCTACCTGTCCCCCCCACCCCTTTGTTTTTACACTGCTGCGACTCTCTGTTTATTATCTATGCATAGTCACTTTACCCCTACCTATAGTGCCTTGCAAAAGTATTCATCCCCTTGGCATTTTTCCTATTTTGTTGCATTACAACCTGTCATTTAAATTGATTTTTATTTGGATTTCATGTAATGGACATACACAAAATAGTCCAAATTGTTGAAGTGAAATGAAAAAGATTACTTGTTTCAAAGAATTCTAAAAAATAAATAATGGAAAAGTGGTGCGTGCATATGTATTCACCCCCTTTGCTATGAAGCCCCTAAATAAGATCTGGTGCAACCAATTACCTTCAGAAGTACCATAATTAGTTAAATAAAGTCCACCTGTGTGCAATCTAAGTGTCACATGATCTGTCACATGATCTCAGTATATATACACCTGTTCTGAAAGGCCCCAGAGTCTGCAACACCACTAAGCAAGGGGCACCACCAAGCAAGTGGCACCATGAAGACCAAGGAGCTCTCCAAACAGGTCAGGGACAAAGTTGTGGAGAAGTACAGATCAGGGTTGGGTTATAAAAAAAATCCGTAACGTTGAACATCCCATGGAGCACCATTAAATCCATTATAATAAAATGGAAAGAATATGGCACCACAACAAACCTGCCAAGAGAGGGCCGCCCACCAAAACTCACGGACCAGGCAAGGAGGGCATTGATCAGAGAGGCAACAAAGAGACCAAAGATAACCCTGAAGGAGCTGCAAAGCTCCACAGCGGAGATTGGAGTATCTGTCCTTTAGAACACTTTAAGTCATACACTCCACAGAGCTGGGCTTTACGGAAGAGTGGTCAGAAAAAAGCCATTGCTTAAAGAAAAAAATAAGCAAACACATTTGATGTTCGCCAAAATGCATGTGTGAGACTCCCCAAACAGATGGAAGCTTTTTGGCCATCAAGGAAAATGCTATGTCTGGCGCAAACCCAACACCTCTCATCACCCCGAGAACACCATCCCACAGTGAAGCATGGTGGTGGCAGCATCATGCTGTGGGGATGTTTTTCATCGGCAGGGACTGGGAAACTGGTCAGAATTGAAGGAATGATGGATGGTGCTAAATACAGGGAAATTCTTGAGGGAAACCTCTTTCAGTCTTCCAGAGATTTGAGACTGGGACAGAGGTTCACCTCCCAGCAGGACAATGATCCTAAGCATACTGCTAAAGCAACACTCGAGTGGTTTAAGGGGAAACATTTAAATGTCTTGGAATGGCCTAGTCAAAGCCCAGACATCAATCCAACTGAGAATCTGTGGTATGACTTAAAGATTGCTGTACACCAGCGGAACCCATCCAACTTGAAGGAACAATGACAAGGGGGGTGAATACTCTTGCAAGCCACTGTACATGTACAAATTACCTCGACTAACCTGTACCCCCGCACATTGACTCGGTACCGGTACCCTCTGTATATAGCCTCGTTATTGTTATTTTATTGTTACTTTTGTTTTTATTAAGTAAATATTTTCTTAACTCTATTTTCTTTAAACTGCATTATTGGTTAAGGGCTTGTAAGTAAGCATTTCATGGTAAGGTCTACACCTGTTGTATTCGGAGCATGTGACAAATACAATTTGATTTGATTTGTAGAGAGACTAGCACTGAAGTAATATGATAAAATGTTTTGCTTCTAGTCAAGATTCTAGCAGCTGTGTTTAGCACTAACTGGAGTTTATTTAGTGCTTTATCCGGGTAGCTGGAGAGTAGAGCATTGCAGTAGTCTAATCTAGAAGTGACAAAAGCATGGACGAGCTTTTCTGCATCATTTTTGGACAAAACTTTTCTGATTTTTGCAATGTTACGAAGATGGAAAAAACCTGTCCTTGAAATATTCTTGATATGTTCGTCAAAAGAGATATCAGGGTCCAGAGTAATGCCGAGGTCCTTCACAGTTTTATTTTAAACGACTGTACAACAATCAAGATTAATTGTCAGATCCAACAGCAGATCTCTTTGTTTCTTGGGACCTAGAACTAGCATCTTTGTTTTGTACGAGTTTAAATGTAAAACATTTGCCGCCATCCACTTCCTTATGTCTGAAACACAGGCTTCCAGGGTAGGCAATGTCGGGGCTTCACCATGTTTAATCGAAATGTACAGCTGTGTGTCGTCCACATATCAGTGAAAGTTGACATTGTGTGTTTCCGAATGACATCACCAAGAGGTAGAACATATAGTGAAAACAATAGTTGTCCAAAATCGAACCTTGAGGAACATCGAAACGTACAATTGATTTGTCAGAGGACAAGCCATCCACAGAGACGAACTGATATCTTTCTGACAGATAAGATCTAAACCAGGCAAGAACTTGTCCATGTAGACCAATTAGGGGTTCCAATCTCTCCAAAAGGATGTGGTGATCGATGGTGTCAAAAGCAGCACTAAGGTCTAGTAGCACGAGGACAGATGCAGAGCCTTGGTCTGACGCCATTAAAAGGTCATTTGCCACCTTCACGAGTGCAGTCTCAGTGCTATGATGGGGTCTAAAACCAGACTGAAGCATTTCGTATGCATTATTTGTCTTCAGGAAGGCAGTGAGTTGCTGCGCAACAGATTTTTCAAAAAGTTTTGAGAGGAATGGGAGATTTGTTACAGGCCGATTCGTTTTTTAAAAACATTTTCCAGGTGAACGTTTGGCTTTTTCAAGGGAGGCTTTATTACTGCCAGGTTTATTGAATTTGGTACACATCCAGTGGATAGGGAGCCATTTATTATGTTCAACATAGGAGGGCCAAGCACAGGAAGTAGCTCTTTCAGTAGTTTAGTTTGGAATAGGGTCCAGTATGCAGCTTGAAGGTTTTGAGGCCATTACTATTTTCATGAATGTATCAAGAGATACAGGATAAAAAAACTTGAGTGTCTCCATTGATCCCAGGTCCTGGCAGTTCTGTGCAGACTCAGGACAACTGAGCTTTGGAGAAATACGCAGATTCAAAGAGGAGTCTGTAATTTGCTTTCTAATGATCATGATCTTTTCGTCAAAGATGTTCATGAATTCGTCACTGCTGAAGTGAAAGCCATCCTCTCTTGGGGAATGCTGCTTTTTAGTTAGCTTTGCGACAGTATCAAAAATAAATATTGGATTGTTGTTATTCTTCTCAATTAGGTTGGAAAAATAGGATGATCGAGCAGCAGTGAGGGCTCTTTGATATTGCACGGTACTTTCTTTCCAAGCTAGTAGGAAGACTTCCAGTTTGGTGGAGCGCCATTTCCGTTCAAATTTTCTGGAAGCTTGCTTCAGGGCTCGAGTATTTTCTCTATACCAGGGAGCTAGTTTCTTGTGACAAATGTTTTTTGTTTTTAGGGGTGCGACTGCATCTAGGGTATTACGCAAGGTTACATTTAGATCCTCAGTTAGGTCGTTAACTGATTTTTGTACTCCGACGTCCTTGGGTAGGTGGAGGGAGTCTGGAAGGGCCTCTAGGAATCTTTGGGTTGTCCAACAATTTATAGCACATCTTTTGATGATCCTTGGTTGGGGTCTGAGAAGATTATTTGTTGCGATTGCGAACGTAATAAGATTGTGGTCCGATAGTCCAGGATTATAAGGAAAAACAATTTGATCCACAATTTTTATTCCACGGACAAAACTAGATCCAGGGTATGACTGTGGCAATGAGTAGGTCCAGCGACATGTTGGACAAAATCCACTGAGTCGATGATGGCTCCAAAAGCCTTTTGGAGTGGGTCTGTGGAGTTTTCCATGTGAATATTGAAGTCACCAATTATTTTTATATTATCTGCCATGACTACAAGGTCCGATAGGAATTCAAGGATGAATGCTGTATACGACCCAGGAGGCCTGTAAACAGTAGCTATAAAAAGTGATTGAGTAGGCTGCATAGATTTCATGACTAGAAGCTCAAAAGACAAAAACGCAGTCATTTATTTAATTATTTTTTTTTAAATTTGCTGTCGTAAATGTTAGCAACACCTCTGCCTTTGTGTGATGCGCGGGGGATATGGTCACTAGTGTAACCAGGAGGAGAGGCCTCATTTAACACAGTCAATTCATCAGGCTGGAGCCATGTTTCAGTCAGGCCAATCACATCAAGATTATGATCAGTGATTAGTTCATTGACTATGAATCCCTTGGAAGTGAGGGATCTAACATTAAGTAACCCTATTTTGAGATGTGAGATATCACAATCTCTTTCAATAATGACAGGAATGGAGGAGGTCTTTATTCCAGTGAGATTGCTAAGGCGAGCACCGCCATGTTTAGTTTTGCCCAACCTAGATCGAGGCACAGACACTGTCTCAATGGGGATAGCTGAGCTGACTACACTGACTGTGCTAGTGGCAGACTCCACTAAGCTGGCAGGCTGGCTAACAGCCTGCTGCCTGGCCTGCACCCTGTCTCATTGGGGAGGCTAACAGCCTGCTGCCTGGCCTGCACCCTGTCTCATTGGGCTGGCTAACAGCCTGCTGCCTGGCCTGCACCCTGTCTCATTGGGGAGGCTAACAGCCTGCTGCCTGGCCTGCACCCTGTCTCATTGGGGAGGCTAACAGCCTGCTGCCTGGCCTGCACCCTGTCTCATTGTGGAGCTAGAGGAATTAGAGCCCTGTCTATGTTGGTAGATAAGATGAGAGCACCCCTCCAGCTAGGATGGAGTCCATCACTCCTCAGCAGGCCAGGCTTGGTCCTGTAGCACCCCTCCAGCTAGGATGGAGTCCATCACTCCTCAGCAGGCCAGGCTTGGTCCTGTAGCACCCCTCCATCTAGGATGGAGTCCGTCACTCCTCAGCAGGCCAGGCTTGGTCCTGTTTGTGGGTGAGTCACTGAAAGAGTGTCAATTATCTACAAATTCTATCTTTTGGGAGGGGCAGAAAGCTGTTTTCAAACAGTGATTGAGTAGTGCGAGTCTGCTGTAGAACTCATCACTCCCCCTAACTGGGAGGGGCCAGAGACAATTACTCAATGCCGACACATCTTTCTAGCTAATTTGCACGCTGAAGCTATGTTGCGCTTGTTGACCTCTGACTGTTTCATCCTAACATTGTTGGTGCCGACATGGATAACAATATCCCTATACTCTCTACACTCGCCAGTTTTAGCCTTAGCCAGCACCATCTTCAGGTTAGCCTTTACGTCGGTAGCCCTGCCCCCTGGTAAACAGTGTATGATCGTTGGACGATTGTTTTTAAGTCTAATATTGTGGGTATTGGAGTCGCCAATGACTAGGATTTTTAATTTGTCAGCACTAATGGTGGAAGGCTTCGGTGGCTCAGACCCCGTAACGGGTGGAGGAGAGACCTGAGAAGGCGCGGCCTCTGACTCCGACTCGTTGCTTAATGGAGAGAACCGGTTGAAAGTTTCTGTCGGCTGAATGAGCGACACCGGTTGAGCATGCTGACAGCATTTCTTTCCAGAAGCCTTAAGAAAATTGTCCGGCTGCGGGGACTGTGCGGGGGGGATTTATACTACTATCTGTACTTACTGGTGTCACAGACGCTGTTTCATCCTTTCCTACACTTACATTGCCCTTGCCTAACGATTGCATCTGAAGCTGGGCTTGCAGCACGGCTATCCTCACCATAAGGGGATAGTTCTCCTGCATATTATGAGTACAGTGACTGCAATTAGATGGCATAGTGTTAATGTTACTACTTAGCTTTTTCAGCTGGTGGAGGTCCTGTAGAACCATGTCCAGATAAAGAGTCCTGTAGAACCATGTCCAGATAAAGGGTCCTGTAGAACCATGTCCAGATAAAGCCTCCTGTAGAACCATGTCCAGATAAAGCCTCCTGTAGAACCATGTCCAGATAAAGCCTCCTGTAGAACCATGTCCAGATAAAGGGTCCTGTAGAACCATGTCCAGATAAAGGGTCCTGTAGAACCATGTCCAGATAAAGGGTCCTGTAGAACCATGTCCAGATAAAGCCTCCTGTAGAACCATGTCCAGATAAAGCCTCCTGTAGAACCATGTCCAGATAAAGGGTCCTGTAGAACCATGTCCAGATAAAGGGTCCTGTAGAACCATGTCCAGATAAAGGGTCCTGTAGAACCATGTCCAGATAAAGGGTCCTGTAGAACCATGTCCAGATAAAGGGTCCTGTAGAACCATGTCCAGATAAAGGGTCCTGTGGAACCATGTCCAGATAAAGGGTCCTGTAGAACCATGTCCAGATTAAAAGTCCTGTAGAACCATGTCCAGATAAAGGGTCCTATAGAACCATGTCCAGATAAAGGGTCCGGGGTGAAAAAGTTGAATGAAAAAAGTTGAGCGAGGAAGAAACTAAGATGTTGGTAAATGTGTTAAATGCAGAGTTTTGATTAAATGGTTATTACAAGTAAAAACCGAAAAGTTTGTCAGGTAGCTAAGTAGCAACAAACAGCACAGCAGCTCAGAGACAAGTCTGGAAGTTGTAATCAACCCAAGAACAATGAATACAGCTGGAAACAGACTGCTCTGAAGGCCATTATTTCAGCCCAGGGTGTGAGAACTATCTGCCATGCTGCTAATTTCATCTGAAGGCTGAATGCTGGCGTTAGGGCTGTGGAGCTGTCTCTGTGTATCTAGCTGGTCACTAATGGGTTGTTTGTCATTGCAGCCTGGGAGGAAGCCTTCGTAGAGTTCCAGAGGCTGAAGTAAGTTCACCAACTCTACACCAGCGTTCTTGGTCTCTTATTATGAAGCCAGACAGACAGATGCAGTGTATATAGTTGTTGTTGTGACATGTTCCTGACCCTGTGTCTGTCTCTCTGTCTGTCTTCCTCAGGGCTGCTGCCATTGCAGAGAGAAGTGAGTGGTTATTTATATTCTCCAATATTATGAAACATCTTCTCTTCCTGCTCTGGGCTGGTGGGAGGGGCTCTGAATGTTACACTGTGTGTGTGTGTTAACACTGACCATCCTGTATTGCAGACCGTGCCCGCGTGGTGGGAGGTCTGCCAGATGTGGTGACCATCCAGGAGGGCAAGGTAACTAGGATCCCTCTCACTCAATTCAAAGGGCTTTATTGGCATGGGAAACATATGTTTACAAAGCCAAAGCAAGTTTCTCTCTCGCACGCTCACACTCTCTCTCTCTCTCGCTCACACTTTCTCTCTCTATCTCTCTCTCACTTCCCACTTCTCTCTCTCTACCTCTCTCTCTCGCGCTCACACTCACTCTCTCTCTCTCTCTCTCTCTCTCTATATATATATATATATATATATCTCTCGCTCGCTCTCTCACTTCCCACCTCTCCCTCTCTCGCGCTCACAACTCTCTCTCTCTATATATATATATCACTACTTCCCTCTTCTCATCTCCTCCTCATCTCTTCTCCTCTCTCCTTCTCTCTCTCCTCTCACTCCCTCTCCTCTCTCCTCTCTTATATCTCTATTCTATCATAGTTTCTCTCTCTCTCGGTCTCTCTCCTTCTCTCTTCTCGGTCTCTCTTCTCTCTCTCTCCATCTCTCTCTCTCCTCGTCTCTTTCTATATATGTCTATATTGTTCTTCATCTGCCTCCCCACTAGTCTCTAACCTGACTATATTATGACCAAATTAAGATATGATAGAGAGAGAGCGAGGATCTCACACGTTCACGTCCACTCTCTTTCTCGCTCTTTCCTGTCTCTCATCTCCTCCACTCTCTCCCTCCCGCTCGTGTCTGTATGATTTGGTGAACAGAGGTTAATTATGCTGACAGTCAGCCTCCCACGTTCCCGTCTCTGAACCTGACAGGCAATGTGTGGGGTGACCCCGCACCCGAGGTCACCTGGATGAAGAACGACAGAGAGCTGGTGTCTGACGAACGTTACGCCCTCAAGTTTGAACACGGCAAGTTTGCCAGCATCACCATCGCCTCAGTAACCACGACCGACTCAGGGAAGTATGCACTCCTGGTGAAGAACAAGTATGGAACCGAGGCAGGAGAGTTCACTGTGTCTGTCTACTTCCCAGAGGATGAGAAGAAAACAGAGTAGAGGAGGATGGAGTTGGGATGGAGTTGGGATGGAGTTGGGATGGAGTTGGGATGGGGGGATAGATGGAGGAGTAGTTATAACAGGCTGAAGGATGACAGGGCGACCTCCAAAGCTCTTTACCCCAGTGCATGATGGTAAACAGAGAACAGGCTGGAAGCATTCAGGAGATGACAAAGATTTGTTGCTGAGAGGTCTTGGTACATATCCTTCTGCTGTCATGTTGAAACCAGAAGCCCCCAGGGCATCATGTCTATACTGATGTGTTGAATCTAAATGATGAACCTGGGAAGAATGAAGGATTGCTCTCCATCTGTCTCTGTCAGGCACTGGGATGAACAGCTGGGAGGATAATATAGTTGAGTAGAAAGCATAGTGTTATACTCTGCTGTTGATGTTGCTTGGTTTGTGGTCTTTGTAGATGTAAGGATGTTTTGGTCCAACCAGGAGATGGTTGACTTGTCTGTCTGCTGCTTTCAGATAAACACGCTGTTACTCACTTCCCATGTTAGTAGACCATTACTTTGGGTTAAACTTTAGAAATACATTGGGCTAAACTTTGAACTCTGACTGTAACTTGCCAATATGTAGAAGTGTTAGACAACCACAACATATATTACAGCAGAGGTCAGAGGTTAGAGATCAGAGGAGACTGGAGGGTTGAGGAAGCAGAGGCATTAAAGGCCCAGCAGGCAGTCTGTGTGTACATCCCAAATTGCACCCTATTCCCCATTGGCCCTGGTCAAAAGTAGTGCACTGTATAGGGAATAGTGAGCCATTTGGGATGGTGTTTCTGTATAGCCCTGTATCTCTAGTGTGTTCATGTGAAACTAGTTCTGTCTGTCTGACAGCCTCAGGCCTGGATACATAACACATTGACACAATGGAGTGCGCGCGCACACACACACACACACACACACACATACACACACACATACACACACACACACACACACAAACACGTAACTCAACATAAACTATATACTTCTAGAGGCATTTACTACCAGTTTGTCCATAGAATTTCTGTAGGTTGACATGACACAGAAGGAAGGAAGGAAGGAAGGAAGGAAGGAAGGAAGGAAGGAAGGAAGGTGGAGTTAGGCTACAGATGGTGACAGAACACATAACAATGTCAAAGTTCACTGTGAGAGCTACTTTATGAAATGTGTTTTGTGTTCATTGAAAGTAATAACCTACTGTCCTCCTCATGACTCTGGTCCCTGTGTTAATAAAGGTGCTTTACTCACGGTCTCTCCTCCTTATCTTCATACAATAGTAGATGGATGTTAGTATTGATTGTATCACTCAACTACTGTAACCAAGTCCACTCAGGACAGAACTGTCTGTTCGTCATAATAAGCAGGATGTTTTCATGTTATGAATATGAGGCAGCGGAGAACGACTGCCCCTGCTGGCTGACCGCGGTACTGCTGGCACTGTATGCAGAAAATAGGATCACCAATTATAGTGAATGGAAAAATTGAGATCTTCATGGTCAGTCTCTGTGTAAATAAACAAATGTCTCAAAGGCAATCATGGTACCAATAATTGCTTCTAAGACACAAGATGTACTGTATGTTCTTGAAGTGATTATTTTTAAATCGCACACAGAAGAAGTTAAGGATAATTTAGTTTCTAATGGAAGCCTGCAGTACCCTGGTTGGCCTTCAACTAGACTCACTCAATGAGAGGGGGCAGCACTGAGCTAGCCTGCAACATCACTTCATGGAGTAGCTCAAACTGGGCATGTTATGTCTCCATGAGACATCATCTTAAAGATGAAGTCCGGATCTTAAGCACAACAAATTCGTAATATATGGTACTAATTGGATTCGTAACGTATCATACAAATTACACAACAACAAAAAATACATATATGAAATGTATGATGACGTAGTACACAGAAACCAGGGACTCGTTTTGGCTCGTTTTGGCTCGTGAGCACCACTTTCAAAACTACTGGCTGAAATTATACAAACGTTCTGGAGTATCACTTTAACCAACTTAATTTGGCTTATTGAGACTTCACATAGAAATGAATGGTGTCACTTGATCAATGGCTTTGTCCATTCATATACTGTATGTAGTCATTGATGTGAGGTCATGGACTGTTACAAAATATAAATACTTTTTTCACCTTCATGGCTTTTCCATAAAGTCACATGACATTGTCACATAGCTGCAGCTGGTAGCCCTGCTGTTGTGTTCTGTTGTTCTTTTGGGTTCTGTTGCATTCTGTTGTTCTGTTCTGTTCTGTTGTGTTCTGTTGTGTTCTGTTCTGTTCTGGAGTCTGTTGTGTTCTGTTGTTCTTTTGGGTTCTGTTGCATTCTGTTGTGTTGTTTTCTGTTGTTCTGTTGTTCTGTTGTTGTGTTCTGTTCTGGGGTCTGTTGTGTTCTGTTCTGTTCACCGGACGAGCTACCTTGTCCCAGACCTTCTGTTTTCAACTCTCTCTCTCTCTACCGCACCTGCTATTTCAACCTCTAAATGCCCGGCTATGAAAAGCCAAGTGACATTTACTCCTGATGTACTGACCTGTTGCAACCTCTACAACCACTGTGATTATTATTTGACCCTGCTGGTCATCTATGAACGTTTGAACATCTTGAAGAACAATTTGGCCTTAATGGCCATGTACTCATAATCTTCACCCGGCATAGCCAGAAGAGGACTGGCCACCCCTCAGAGCCTGGTTCCTCTCTAGGTTTCTTCCTAGGTTCCTGCCTTTCTAGGGAGATTTTCTTAGCCACCGTGCTTCTACATCTGCATTGCTTTCTGTTTGGGGTTTTAGGCTGGGTTTCTGTATAGAACTTTGTGACATCTACTGATGTAAAAAGGCCTTTATAAATACATTTGATTGATTGATTGTGTTGTGTTCTTTTGGGTTCTATTGTGTCCTGTTGCTCTGCTCTGTTGTGTTGTGTGTGTTCTGTTGTGTTCTGTTCTGTTCTGGGTTGTGTTGTTGTGTTGTGTGTTCTGTTCTGGGTTGTGTTGTGTGTGTGTTCAGTTTTGTTGTGTGTGTTCTGTTCTGTTGTGTTGTAGGTGTGCTGTGTTGTGCTGTTCTGTAGTGACTGTATATATGAATGGACAAAGCAATCGATCACATGACACCATTAATTCCTATGTGAAGACTCAATAGCGCATTGAAGCCAAATGAAGTCGGTTAAGATGGCATCTCAAAACATGCAGGCTAGCTCAGTGCTGCCCCCTCTCATTGAGTAAATCAAGTTGAAGACAGACCGGGGTACTGCAGGCTGCCATTAGCAACAAAATGATCCTTATCACTTCTTCTGTGCTTGATTTTAAAATAATCAGTTCAAGGACATACACTACTGTTCAAAAGTTTGGGGTCACTTAGAAATGTCCTTGTTTTCGAAAGAAAAGCACTTTTTGTGTCCATTAAAATAACATTACATTTATCAGAAATAAAGTGTAGACATTGTTAATGTTGTAAATGGCTATTGTAGCTGGAAATGGCTGATTTTTAATGGAATATCTACATAGGCGTACAGAGGCCCATTATCAGCAACCATCAGTCATGTGTTCCAATGGCACGTTGTGTTTGCTAATCCAAGTTTATCATTTTAAAAGGCTAATTGATCATTAGAAAACCCTTTTGTAATTATGTTAGCACAGCTGAAAACTGTTGTGCTGATTAAAGAAGCAATAAAACTGGCCTTCTTGAGACTAGTTGAGTATCTGGAGCATTAGCAATTGTGGGTTCAATTACAGGCTCAAAATGGCCAGAAACAAAGAACTTTCTTCTGAAACTCATCAGTTTATTCTTGTTCTGAGAAATGAAGGCTATTCCATGCGAGAAATTGCCAAGAAACTGAAGATTTCGTACAACGCTGTGTACTACTCCTTTCACAGAACAGTGCGAACTGTCTCGAACCATTTATTAAAGATGCGTGCGCACAAAAAAGACTGAACCTTGCGTGGGCCAGTTTTCCTGCAAAGGTTGGTACAGTGAGGGGAAAAAGTATTTGATCCCCTGCTGATTTTGATGTTTGCCCACTGACAAAGACATGATCAGTCTATAATTTTAATGGTAGGTTTATTTGAACAGTGAGAGACAGAATAACAACAACAAAATCCAGAAAAACGCATGTCAAAAATGTTATAAATTGATTTGCATTTTAATGAGCTGAATTGCTCATTAAAATGCAATTTTAATTGCAAAATGTAATTGCTGAATTTCTGTAGTTCAATACTTCCTATGGGGATACAATTGATAGTGCAGCTTAAAAATGTATACTGAACAAAAATATAAACGCAACAATTTCTGAGATTTGACTGAGTTACTGTTCATACAAGGAAATCAGTCAATTGAAATAAATTCATTAGGCCCTAATCTATGAATTTCACGTGACTGGGCAGGGGCGCAGCCATGGGTGGGCCTGGGCGGGCATAGGCCCACCCACTGGGGAACCAGGCCCAGCCAATATTCTCTAAAACGACATTGGAGGGGGCTTACAGTAGAGAAATTAACATTAAATGATCTGGCAACAGCTCTGTTGGACATTCCTGTAGTCAGCATGCCAATTTCACATTCCCTCAAAACTTGAGATATCTGTGCCATTGTGTTGTGACAAAACTGCACATTTTAGAATGGCCTTTTATTGTCCCCAGCATAAGGTGCACCTGTGTAATGATCATGCTGTATAATCAGCTTCTTGATATGCCACACCTGTCAAGTGGATGGATTATCTTGGCAAAGGAGAAATGCTCACCAACAGGGATGTAAACAAATGTATGTACAACATTTGAGATAAGCTTTTTGTGAGTATGGAACATTTCTGGGATATTTTATTTCAGCTCATGAAACATGGGACCAACACTTAACATGTTGCATTTATATTTTTGATCAGTATTTATGGCAAGGTAAAATGAATACATTTACAAAAAGAGGGAAATATGTAGGAGGACTACATACCAAACTTTAAATTGTATTTCCAGGCTCTATCATTTCGCCCCATCCTACATTTTACATTACATTTACATTTACGTCATTTAGCAGACGCTCTTATCCAGAGCGACTTACAAATTGGTGCATTCACCCTATAGCCAGTGGGATAACCACTTTACAATTAAAAAAAAAAAAATAATTGGGGGGGGGGGGTAGAAGGATTACTTTATCCTATCCCAGGTATTCCTTAAAGAGGTGGGGTTTCAAATGTCTCCGGAAGGTGGTGAGTGACTCCGCTGTCCTGGCATCGTGAGGGAGCTTGTTCCACCATTGGGGTGCCAGAGCAGCGAACAGTTTTGACTGGGCTGAGCGGGAACTATGCTTCCGCAGAGGAAGGGGAGCCAGCAGGCCAGAGGTGGATGAACGCAATGCCCTCGTTTGGGTGTAGGGACTGATCAGAGCCTGAAGGTACGGAGGTGCCGTTCCCCTCACTGCTCCATAGGCAAGCACCATGGTCTTGTAGCAGATGCGAGCTTCAACTGGAAGCCAGTGGAGTGTGCGGAGGAGGGGGGTGACGTGAGAGAAATTGGGAAGGTTGAACACCAGACGGGCTGCGGCATTCTGGATGAGTTGTAGGGGTTTAATGGCACAGGCAGGGAGCCCAGCCAACAGCGAGTTGCTGTTGGCTGATTTAGACATGATTATTTTGCCCCCTGGCTGAGTATAGAGAGAAATATGGTGTCTCCTATTGACCTGGAAGAGGTGGTCTCCACTGATATATCCCTTAAACAATGTAATATGGTGTCTCCTATTGATCTGGAAGAGGTGGTCTCCACTGATATATCCCTTAAACAATATAATATGGTGTCTCCTATTGATCTGGAAGAGGTGGTCTCCACTGATATATCCCTTAAACAATGTAATATGGTGTCTCCTATTGACCTGGAAGAGGTGGTCTCCACTGATATATCCCTTAAACAATGTAATATGGTGTCTCCTATTGATCTGGAAGAGGTGGTCTCCACTGATATATCCCTTAAACAATGTAATATGGTGTCTCCTATTGACCTGGAAGAGGTGGTCTCCACTGATATATCCCTTAAACAATGTAATATGGTGTCTCCTATTGATCTGGAAGAGGTGGTCTCCACTGATATACAGTGGGGAAAAAAAGTATTTAGTCAGCCACCAATTGTACAAGTTCTCCCACTTAAAAAGATGAGAGAGGCCTGTAATTTTCATCATAGGTACACGTCAACTATGACAGACAAATTGAGAAAAAAAAATCCAGATAATCCAATTGTAGGATTTTTAATGAATTTATTTGCAAATTATGGTGGAAAATAAGTATTTGGTCACCTACAAACAAGCAAGATTTCTGGCTCTCACAGACCTGTAACTTCTTCTTTAAGAGGCTCCTCTGTCCTCCACTCGTTACCTGTATTAATGGCACCTGTTTGAACTTGTTATCAGTATAAAAGACACCTGTCCACAACCTCAAACAGTCACACTCCAAACTTCACAATGGCCAAGACCAAAGAGCTGTCAAAGGACACCAAAAACAAAATTGTAGACCTGCACCAGGCTGGGAAGACTGCATCTGCAATAGGTAAGCAGCTTGGTTTGAAGAAATCAACTGTGGGAGCAATTATTAGGAAATGGAAGACATACAAGACCACTGATAATCTCCCTCGATCTGGGGCTCCACGCAAGATCTCATCCTGTGGGGTCAAAATGATCACAAGAACGGTGAGCAAAAATCCCAGAACCACACGGTGGGACCTAGTGAATGACCTGCAGAGAGCTGGGACCAAAGTAATAAAGCCTACCATCAGTAACACACTACGCCGCCAGGGACTCAAATCCTGCAGTGCGAGACGTGTCCCCCTGCTTAAGCCAGTACATGTCCAGGCCCGTCTGAAGTGCATTTGGATGATCCAGAAGAGGATTGGGAGAATGTCATATGGTCAGATGAAACCAAAATATAACTTTTTGGTAAAAACTCAACTCGTCATGTTTGGAGGACAAAGAATGCTGAGTTGCATCCAAAGAACACCATACCTACTGTGAAGCATGGGGTTGGAAACATCATGCTTTGGGGCTGTTTTTCTGCAAAGGGACCAGGACGACTGATCCGTGTAAAGGAAAGAATGAATGGGGCCATGTATCGTGAGATTTTGAGTGAAACCCTCCTTCCATCAGCAAGGGCATTGAAGATGAAACGTGGCTGGGTCTTTCAGCATGACAATGATCCCAAACACACCGCCCGGGCAACGAAGGAGTGGCTTCGTAAGAAGCATTTCAAGGTCCTGGAGTGGCCTAGCCAGTCTCCAGATCTCAACCCCATAGAAAATCTTTGGAGGGAGTTGAAAGTCTGTGTTGCCCAGCGACAGCCCCAAAACATCACTGCTCTAGAGGAGATCTGCATGGAGGAATGGGCCAAAATACCAGCAACAGTGTGTGAAAACCTTGTGAAGACTTACAGAAAACGTTTGACATGTGTCATTGCCAACAAAGGGTATATAACAAAGTATTGAGAAACTTTTGTTATTGACCAAATACTTATTTTCAACCATCATATGCCAATAAATTCATTAAAAATCCTACAATGTGATTTTCTGGATTTTTTTTCCTCATTTTGTCTGTCATAGTTGACGTGTACCTATGATGAAAATTACAGGCCTCTCTCATCTTTTTAAGTGGGAGAACTTGCACAATTGGTGGCTGACTAAATACTTTTTTTCCCCACTGTATCCCTTAAACAATGTAATATGGTGTCTCCTATTGCCCTGGAAGAGGTGGTCTCCACTGATATATCCCTTAAACAATGTAATATGGTGTCTCCTATTGATCTGGAAGAGGTGGTCTCCACTGATATATCCCTTAAACAATGTAATATGGTGTCTCCTATTGGTCACTGATATATCCCTTAAACAATGTAATATGGTGTCTCCTATTGATCTGGAAGAGGTTGTCTCCACTGATATATCCCTTAAACAATATAATATGGTGTCTCCTATTGATCTGGAAGAGGTGGTCTCCACTGATATATCCCTTAAACAATGTAATATGGTGTCTCCTATTGATCTGGAAGAGGTGGTCTCCACTGATATATCCCTTAAACAATGTAATATGGTGTCTCCTATTGATCTGGAAGAGGTGGTCTCCACTGATATATCCTTAAACAATGTAATATGGTGTCTCCTATTGATCTGGAAGAGGTGGTCTCCACTGATAAATCCCTTAAACAATGTAATATGGTGTCTCCTATTGCCCTGGAAGAGGTGGTCTCCACTGATATATCCTTAAACAATATAATATGGTGTCTCCTATTGATCTGGAAGAGGTGGTCTCCACTGATATATCCCTTAAACAATGTCATATGGTGTCTCCTATTGACCTGGAAGAGGTGGTCTCCACTGATATATCCCTTAAACAATGTAATATGGTGTCTCCTGTAGCCCTGGAAGAGGTAGTCTCCACTTATATATCCCTTAAACAATGTAATATGGTGTCTCCTATTGATCTGGAAGAGGTGGTCTCCACTGATATATCCCTTAAACAATGTAATATGGTGTCTCCTATTGATCTGGAAGAGGTGGTCTCCACTGATATATCCCTTAAACAATGTAATATGGTGTCTCCTGTTGCCCTGGAAGAGGTGGTCTCCACTGATATATCCCTTAAACAATGTAATATGGTGTCTCCTATTGATCTGGAAGAGGTGGTCTCCACTGATATATCCCTTAAACAATGTAATATGGTGTCTCCTATTGACCTGGAAGAGGTGGTCTCCACTGATATATCCCTTAAACAATGTCATATGGTGTCTCCTATTGACCTGGAAGAGGTTGTCTCCACTGATATATCCCTTAAACAATGTAATATGGTGTCTCCTATTGGTCACTGATATATCCCTTAAACAATGTAATATGGTGTCTCCTATTGATCTGGAAGAGGTGGTCTCCACTGATAAATCCCTTAAACAATGTAATATGGTGTCTCCTATTGATCTGGAAGAGGGGGTCTCCACTGATATATCCCTTAAACAATGTAATATGGTGTCTCCTATTGATCTGGAAGAGGTGGTCTCCACTGATATATCCCTTAAACAATGTAATATGGTGTCTCCTATTGATCTGGAAGAGGTGGTCTGCACTGATATATCCCTTAAACAATGTAATATGGTGTCTCCTGTTGCCCTGGAAGAGGTGGTCTCCACTGATATATCCCTTAAACAATGTAATATGGTGTCTCCTGTTGACCTGGAAGAGGTGGTCTCCACTGATATATCCCTTAAACAATGTAATATGGTGTCTCCTGTTGACCTGGAAGAGGTGGTCTCCACTGATATATCCCTTAAACAATGTCATATGGTGTCTCCTATTGCCCTGGAAGAGGTGGTCTCCACTGATATATCCCTTAAACAATGTAATATGGTGTCTCCTATTGATCTGGAAGAGGTGGTCTCCACTGATATATCCCTTAAACAATGTAATATGGTGTCTCCTATTGGTCACTGATATATCCCTTAAACAATGTAATATGGTGTCTCCTGTTGACCTGGAAGAGGTGGTCTCCACTGATATATCCCTTAAACAATGTAATATGGTGTCTCCTATTGATCTGGAAGAGGTGGTCTCCACTGATATATCCCTTAAACAATGTAATATGGTGTCTCCTATTGACCTGGAAGAGGTGGTCTCCACTGATATATCCCTTAAACAATATAATATGGTGTCTCCTATTGACCTGGAAGAGGTGGTCTCCACTGATATATCCCTTAAACAATGTCATATGGTGTCTCCTATTGATCTGGAAGAGGTGGTCTCCACTGATATATCCCTTAAACAATGTAATATGGTGTCTCCTATTGCCCTGGAAGAGGTGGTCTCCACTGATATATCCCTTAAACAATGTAAACTATGCTTTGGTCCTAGTATTGCTCACAACATTTATATTTGGCGCAAAATTTAAAAACAATGTAACTGGGAATCAAAATGGCACGTCCATACTCCAATATTTGTCATCAATGCCTTGCGATCTGGAGGGCAGCCTTTTGCCCCCAATGGTCCAAATGTGGAAACCGTACTCTTACCGATATCATGGACAGTAATGGTTTGAGAACATGCCAAGATTTTAAAGATACATACACATTACCAGGCTACAAATGTTTTCAATATTCACAATTTAGGTCATCTATGCTGGCCTATGGAATCTCTTCGGTAACATAACTACCGAAATATCCAATGATGGGATTTATAAATATATTATCTGGGCTCCCAAAAGGACTGATCTGATATATATATATATATACAGTGGGGAGAACAAGTATTTGATACACTGCCGATTTTGAAGGTTTTCCTACTTACAAAGCATGTAGAGGTCTGTCATTTTTATCATAGGTACACTTCAACTGTAAGAATCCAGAAAATCACATTGTATGATTTTTAAGTAATTAATTTGCATTTTATTGCATGACATAAGTATTTGATACATCAGAAAAGCATAACTTAATATTTGGTAAAGAAACCTTTGTTTACAATTACAGAGATCATATGTTTCCTGTAGGTCTTGACCAGGTTTGCACACACTGCAGCAGGGATTTTGGCCCACTCCTCCATACAGACCTTCTCCAGATCCTTCAGGTTTCGGGGCTGTCGCTGGGCAATACGGACTTTCAGCTCCCTCCAAAGATTTTCTATTGGGTTCAGGTCTGGAGACTGGCTAGGCCACTCCAGGACCTTGAGATGCTTTTTACGGAGCCACTCCTTAGTTGCCCTGGCTGTGTGTTTCGGGTCGTTGTCATGCTGGAAGACCCAGGCACGACCCATCTTCAATGCTCTTACTGAGGGAAGGAGGATGTTGGCCAAGATCTCGCGATACATGGCCCCATCCATCCTCCCCTCAATACGGTGCAGTTGTCCTGTCCCCTTTGCAGAAAAGCATTCCCAAAGAATGATGTTTCCACCTCCATGCTTCACGGTTGGGATGGTGTTCTTGGGGTTGTACTCATCCTTCTTCTTCCTCCAAACACGGTGAGTGGAGTTTAGACCAAAAAGCTCTATATTTGTCTCATCAGACCACATGACCTTCTCCCATTCCTCCTCTGGATCATCCAGATGGTCATTGGCAAACTTCAGACGGGCCTGGACATGCGCTGGCTTGAGCAGGGGGACCTTGCGTGCGCTGCAGGATTTTAATCCAGAACGGCGTAGTGTGTTACTAATGGTTTTCTTTGAGACTGTGGTCCCATCTCTCTTCAGGTCATTGACCAGGTCCTGCCGTGTAGTTCTGGGCTGATCCCTCACCTTCCTGAAAGTCTGTATTGCCCAGCGACAGCCCCGAAACCTGAAGGATCTGGAGAAGGTCTGTATGGAGGAGTGGGCCAAAATCCCTGCTGCAGTGTGTGCAAACCTGGTCAAGACCTACAGGAAACGTATGCTCTCTGTAATTGCAAACAAAGGTTTCTGTACCAAATATTAAGTTATGCTTTTCGGATGTATCAAATACTTATGTCATGCAATGAAATGCAAATTAATTACTTAAAAAATCATACAATGTGATTTTCTGGATTTTTGTTTTAGATTCCGTCTCTCACAGTTGAAGTGTACCTATGATAAAAATGACAGACCTCTACATGCTTTGTAAGTAAGAAAAAACCTGCAAAATGGGCAGTGTATCAAATACTTGTTCTCCCCACTGTGTATAAATATATACAGTTATATATACAGTTGAAGTCAGAAGGTTACATACACCTTAGCCAAATAAATTTCAACTCAGTTTTTCACAATTCCTGACATTTAATCCTAGTAAAAATTCCCTGTCTTAGGTCAGTTAGGATCACCACTTTATTTTAAGAATGTGAAATGTCAGAATAATAGTAGAGAGAACGATTTATTTCAGATTTTATTTCTTTCATCACATTCCTGGTGGGTCAGAAGTTTACATACACTCAATTAGTATTTGGTAGCATTGCCTTTAAATTGTTTAACTTGGGTCAAACGTTTCGGGTAGCCTTCCACAAGCTTCCCACAATAAGTTGGGTGAATTCTGGCCCATTCCTCCTGACAGAGCTGGTGTAACTAAGTAAGGTTTGTAGGCCTCCTTGCTCGCACAAGCTTTTTCAGTTCTGCCCACAGATTTTCTATAGGATTGAGGTCAGGGCTTTGTGATGGCCACTCGAATACGTTGACTTTGTTGTCCTTAAGCAATTTTGCCACAACTTTGGAAGTATTTTATTTAACCTTTATTTAACTAGGCATGTCAGTTAAGAACTAATTCCTATTTACAACGACGCTTGTATGCTTGGGGTCATTGTCCATTTGGAAGACCCATTTGCGACCAAGCTTTAACTTCCTGACTGATGTCTTGAGATGTTGCTTCAATATATCCACATAATTTTCCTTCCTCATGATGCCATCTAGTTTGTGAAGTGCACCAGACCCTCCTGCAGTAAAGCACCCCCACAGCATGATGCTGCCACCCCCGTTCTTCACGGTTGGGATGGTGTTCTTCGGCTTGCAAGCCTTCCCCCTTTTTCCTCCAAACATAATGATGGTCATTTAGGCCAAACAGTTCTATTTTTGTTTCATCAGAAATAGAACTGTGCAGACTACGGTTTGGATAAAGTAATCCTTCCCCCCCCCCCCCCCCAAAAAAAAACAAACAATGTAAAGTGGTTATCCCACTGGCTATAAGGTGAATGCACCTATTTGTAAGTCGCTAAATCTGCTAAATGACTGCTAAATGACGTAAATGTAAATGTAAATGTATTTCTGATCAATTTGATGTTATTTTAATGGACAAAAAAAATGTTTTTCTTTCGAAAACAAGGACCTTTTTAAGTGACCACAAACTTTGGAATATATAGATATATACCTAAAAATGTATATACAAATATTGTATTTTTCTATTCTCATAGTTTTTTATATGTTGACTTATAAAAAACAATTTGAAACCTATAGTTAAAGATTTTCTTTTGTTGAGGTTACTTTCTCAGAACATTCACTTTTCTTATAATATTCTTAGATGACTCATATAATAAATCATACCAAGCCAGAGCCAGCTACAGTAACCACTGCTATATGTGTGTCGTGAACAGTTGCAATTCTAGCATGTAAATGTTGGTGGGGAAAACTTTTTTTTAATGCATGCCAGCAAAGCCACTACACAACACAACACAACACAATACATGAATTGCACTATAACGGTGACAAACGGTGCCCACAAACTGTTAGGGCCTCCATAAAGCTGTCCCAACAGCAGAGTCCCAACAGCAGAGTCCCAACAGCAGAGTCCCAACAGCAGAGTCCCAACAGCAGAGTCCCAACAGCAGAGTCCCAACAGCAGAGTCCCAACAGCAGAGTCCCAACAGCAGAGTCCCAACACCTTACCACTGCTACACCCGGCTATCAGCGGAGCCTTGTCTGGCAGCGAAACAGTTCATTCAGCCTCATTTACTGCCTTTTTAAAACCAAAGCTGATCTGACTGACTTGATTAAATAAATATGGTTTCTACTGACTCCTTGTGGATTTGTGTAAGTCGATAAGAACCTCATTCTCCTCCAATAATAATGAACGCCGACATGAGTTTTGAGTTTTGAACCATAAACAAACATTATTACGTTTATGTTCAGTAAATTAATCATGTTTGTTCTTATATCATATCTCTAAGTATAAGCAAGTGCAAGCAAACGAGCTGCGATGAGGAAGGATTATTAGTTCAGATAGATGGTAGTTCAGATAGATGGTAGTTCAGATAGATGGTAGTTCAGATAGAAGGTAGTTCAGATAGATGGTAGTTCAGATAGATGGTAGTTCAGATAGATGGTAGTTCAGATAGATGGTAGTTCAGATAGATGGTAGTTCATATAGATGGTAGTTCAGATAGATGGTAGTTCAGATAGATGGTAGTTCAGATAGATGGTAGTTCAGATAGATGGTAGTTCAGATAGATGGTAGTTCAGATAGATGGTAGTTCAGATAAAATCAGCAAGATGTTGAGGCCTTAACTTAGCTCTTCTTTCAGTCACCACACACAGAGAGAGAGAGAGAGAGACGAGGTTAGCCTAACATTTGAAGTATTTCATTAGGCCTGTGTGGTCTAAAATGGAAGGAAAATACTGTCACCAGGATCCACTTTTATAGACAATATACCCACACACAGACAGCACATTGATCAAACATAACGACCCTCACAATATCAACTGGAATTACCTGGATCTATTACTCAGCGCATTGAGCAAACATAACGACCCTCACAATATCAACTGGAATTACCTGGATCTAAGAGACTGTCACTGGCAAACATGGTTACAGACCCAACAACATTATCTAGTATCCCCTCCTCATGGTTACAGACCCAACAACATTATCTAGTATCCCCTCCTCATGGTTACAGACCCAACAACATTATCTAGTATCCCCTCCTCATGGTTACAGACCCAACAACATTATCTAGTATCCCCTCCTCATGGTTACAGACCCAACAACATTACTAGTATCCCCTCCTCATGGTTACAGACCCAACAAACATTATCTAGTATCCCCTCCTCATGGTTACAGACCCAACAACATTATCTAGTATCCCCTCCTCATGGTTACAGACCCAACAACATTATCTAGTATCCCCTCCTCATGGTTACAGACCCAACAACATTATCTAGTATCCCCTCCTCATGGTTACAGACCCAACAACATTATCTAGTATCCCCTCCTCATGGTTACAGACCCAACAACATTATCTAGTATCCCCTCCTCATGGTTACCAGACCCAACAACATTATCTAGTATCCCCTCCTCATGGTTACAGACCCAACAACATTATCTAGTATCCCCTCCTCATGGTTACAGACCCACAACATATCTATATCCCTCCTCAGTATCCCCTCCTCATGGTTACAGACCCAACAGCATTATCTAGTATCCCCTCCTCATGGTTACAGACCCAACAACATTATCTAGTATCCCCTCCTCATGGTACAGACCCAACAACATTATCTAGTATCCCCTCCTCATGGTTACAGACCCAACAACATTATCTAGTATCCCCTCCTCATGGTTACAGACCCAACAACATTATCTAGTATCCCCTCCTCATGGTTACAGACCCAACAACATTATCTAGTATCCCCTCCTCATGGTTACAGACCCAACAACATTATCTAGTATCCCCTCCTCATGGTTACAGACCCAAACATTATATATCCCCTCATGGTTACAGACCCAACAACATTATATAGTATCCCCTCCTCATGGTTACAGACCCAGCAACATTATCTAGTATCCCCTCCTCATGGTTACAGACCCAACAACATTATCTAGTATCCCCTCCTCATGGTTACAGACCCAACAACATTATCTAGTATCCCCTCCTCATGGTTACAGACCCAACAACATTATCTAGTATCCCCTCCTCATGGTTACAGACCCAACAACATTATCTAGTATCCCCTCCTCATGGTTACAGACCCAACAACATTATCTAGTATCCCCTCCTCATGGTTACAGACCCAACAACATTATCTAGTATCCCCTCCTCATGGTTACAGACCCAACAGCATTATCTAGTATCCCCTCCTCATGGTTACAGACCCAACAGCATTATCTAGTATCCCCTCCTCATGGTTACAGACCCAACAACATTATCTAGTATCCCCTCCTCATGGTTACAGACCCAACAACATTATCTAGTATCCCCTCCTCATGGTTACAGACCCAACAACATTATATAGTATCCCCTCCTCATGGTTACAGACCCAACAACATTATCTAGTATCCCCTCCTCATGGTTACAGACCCAACAACATTATCTAGTATCCCCTCCTCATGGTTACAGACCCAACAACATTATCTAGTATCCCCTCATCAGTACCTGTATAAGTGTTCCCTCTGCCCCCTTGTCTTTGTTTGTGATTGTTTATTGTGGAGGAGAGAGAAGCTCGGTGGAGCTCTTTGTTATTTTGTATCGCTGGGTTATTTTCACCTATGTGCTTCGTTGTTTTTCAGTGCGCCTGTTTTCTGCACTGAAGTGTTTTGACGCATTGCTGCGTACTACTGTGTTGGGAATAAACGTTTTGTTCTATGATTTGCCCTCCTGCGCCTGACTCCTTCAAATCACAACATTACAGTTGAGGAAGTAATTCTGCTTTCTGCTTTGAAAGTTGATAAACTTGTAACCCCACTTTTGAGAAAATGTCCCTTGAATGTTTTGGTACCAACTGCAGAGCTCTTCTTTTGTCTACACCCATTCAGCATCGTTCACACCCTCTTAGGCCTTTGCCCCGCCCATCTCTTTAAGGATTCACGAGGCCATGTGCTAAACCAAGTGAGAAGTGTTGTAAACAATCAAAGATTTCAAGATTAAAAGTGGTGAAAGTAGTAGCCTACAATAAGGAAAAACTCCAGGTAAAATACACTTCATCTAGTCCTTGGCCTATATCATAATCTGACTTTGGTGCAGGTCATGTTGTTCTTCACATTATCATCTCTGGTAAAACAAACACTATATCAAATAAAATCTATGTTTATTTGTCATGTGCACAGGATACAGAAGGTGTAAATGGTACAGTGAAATGGTTACTTGCAATATCAAAAACAGAAAGTGTCCAGATACATTTTTTAATAAATGTTTTATAATTATTAGATGACGCTTACCCGACACACTTGTCTAAATTGATGGGTCATGTGAAGGAAATGCTATAACCACCCCCAGCCACATCTAGCTAAGTGGATGGGTCACTATTGTCTAGACATGTAGACATGTTCGTGAAATACGATCGATGGCCATAATCACCCCCAGACACACCTGGCTAACTTGATGGGTAACTTGATGGGTAACTTGATGGGTAACTTGGGTAACTTGATAGAACAGAAACATAATAACAATACTAAATGTTGTTGAGAAAAGTAGCAAAACTTTTGTAGTTCTCTAATGTTTTATACACAGCTCAAAAAATAAAGGGAACACTAAAATAACACATCTTAGATCTGAATGAATGAAATAATCTTATTAAATACTTTTTTCTTTACATAGTTGAATGTGCTGACAACAGAATCACACAAAAATTATCAATGGAAATCAAATTTATCAACCCATGGAGGTCTGGATTTGGAGTCACCCTCAAAATTAAAGTGGAAAACCACACTACAGGCTGATCCAACTTTGATGTAATGTCCTTAAAACAAGTCAAAATGAGGCTCAGTAGTGTGTGTGGCCTCCACGTGCCTGTATGACCTCCCTACAACGCCTGGGCATGCTCCTGATGAGGTGGCGGATGGTCTCCTGAGGGATCTCCTCCCAGACCTGGACTAAAGCATCCGCTAACTCCTGGACAATCTGTGGTGCAACGTGGCATTGGTGGATGGAGCGAGACATGATGTCCCAGATGTGCTCAATTGGATTCAGGTCTGGGGAACGGGCGGTCCATAGCATCAATGCCTTCCTCTTGCAGGAACTGCTGACACACTCCAGCCACATGAGGTCTAGCATTGTCTTGCATTAGGAGGAACCCAGGGCCAACCGCTCCAGCATATGGTCTCACAAGGGGTCTGAGGATCTCATCTCGGTACCTAATGGAAGTCAGGCTACCTCTGTGAGCACATGGAGGGCTGTGCGGCCCCCCAAAGAAATGCCACCCCACACCATGACTGACCCACCACCAAACCGGTCATGCTAGAGGATGTTGCAGGCAGCAGAACGTTCTCCACGGCGTCTCCAGACTCTGTCACGTCTGTCACATGTGCTCAGTGTGAACCTGCTTTCATCTGTGAAGAGCACAGGGCGCCAGTGGCGAATTTGCCAATCTTGGTGTTCTCTGGTAAATGCCAAACGTCCTGCACGGTGTTGGGCTGTAAGCACAACCCCCACCTGTGGACGTCGGGCCCTCATACCACCCTCATGGACTCTGTTTCTGACTGTTTGAGCAGACACATGCACATTTGTGGCCTGCTGGAGGTCATTTTGCAGGGCTCTGGCAGTGCTCCTCCTGCTCGTCCTTGCACAAAGGCGGAGGTAGCGGTCCTGCTGCTGGGTTGTTGACCTCCTACGGTCTCCTCCACGTCTCCTGATGTACTGGCCTGTCTCCTGGTAGCGCCTCCATGCTCTGGACACTACGCTGACAGACACAGCAAACCTTCTTGCCACAGCTCGCATTGATGTGCCATCCTGGATGAGCTGCACTACCTGAGCCACTTGTGTGGGTTGTAGACTCCGTCTCATGCTACCACTAGAGTGAAAGCACCGCCAGCATTCAAAAGTGACCAAAACATCAGCCAGGAAGCATAGGAACTGAGAAGTGGTCTGTGGTCACCACCTGCAAAACCAGACCTTCATTGGGGGTGTCTTGCTAATTGCCTATAATTTCCACCTGTTGTCTATCCCATTTGCACAACAGCATGTGAAATGTATTGTCAATCAGTGTTGCTTCCTAAGTGGACAGTTTGATTTCACAGAAGTGTGATTGACTTGGAGTTACATTGTGCTGTTTAAGTGTTCCCTTAATTTTTTTGAGCAGTGTATATTTTTTAATGCCGTGGTATAAAGGACTATCAACACATACTGAACAGCTCACCTTATAGACAGAAGCATGCTACATGGCAGACCAATCCAAACTCATCTCCCAGCATGTCCAGCCCACCCATTATCTCAGCCAATCATGGCTAGAGGGTAGGTTCCTGTCTTTTTCCATGGCTAAGCCAACTAGACTTGTAATTTAACAATTGTATTTGTATTTGCAGATGGAATAGTTTCTGCCAAAAACTGCATTTTGATTAAATAAAAAGAAAAGACGTTCAAATGCCACTCCTGTGATGTAGTGATGTGCGACATAACTTCCTGAAACGGGATATATAGCCCTAAAGGCCGAGACAATAAGAAGACACAGTGGCAGAATAAATTCAACCACACAAATCTGTCTGGTGAAGTCCGCAAAGCATATTGCATGTAACAAACAGTTACATGACCTACAGCACGGTCAAGTAAGGTAATGTTTCCAACAGCTAAACAACTATTGATTTAGTACCACGGAGAGTTACCGCATGTCGCAAAGAAAACAGGAGCTGCCTCCACTATTCCAGAACCATTTCAACTTCAACATTTCAACAGCATCAAATCACCTATGCTTAAGACAACTAAAATATACCAAAAATGATTTAGTCCAATCAACGTAAGCTAAATATGATGTGGCTGTCCATGGTAGTGATTTCTCTGTGTGTGTTTAAGTATAAAAAACATGTTGACTCAACCTACTAGTAGAGAAACGCCAATACCAACCTCCTCTCATGTTGCTTAAACGGTCTATGACTCTGTCATACAGTACATGCTTTTAGTTTGTTGTCCTCCGAGGCTACCTGGCTAAAATACTTGCTCGCTAGCCTAACTTCCTTTCATCGACAACAATTAGCCAGCTAGTTAACATTAGCATACTACCTCTAGCTACATATTGAACTTCCATCCTCTCAGGCCAGGGGCACAATGTATGAATTTATGGTTGGATCAGAATCACTGTTATAATCATTGGCCAGTACGGAGAATTAAGTAAAACCACAAGTCCAAATAGCTAATTTAGGAAAGGGTACACTATAGCTAGCTAGTTAACCACCGGAGGACAACGACACAACGAGATGCAACAATTGAAGTTTTTTCTGTCAATTACGTTTTGCTTTTGATGTGATGTGATTGGTCCAAATCCAAACTGGCTTCCCTTGACATTTTATTTTGGTGCGCCAGGGACCATTCACTAGGGAGCTCAGTTTAGCTCAGCGCTGATTGGCTATTATTGTATAAAATAAATGATCAAGGGAGGCCAAATGCTCTCTGCCTTCCCTTGCATTCAATGATACGGGCGGCAAAATAAAATCATACTCTTTTTGACCAGACAGCATCAGATAGATGGACTACACATACAGAGACAGAGGGGCGCTGTTTCACTCGCTCAGAAGCTTTTCTCCGGTGAGATACATTCAGACTGAAGGAAATTTAGGAAACAGAGAGACGAAAGCTAAATTATTTTGGAAATTATTTGCCAGGCTTCCCTTGGCATCCATGAATACACACCAATGTTATTTAGTCCAATTGTGGCATGATTCCACTATTTTCATCTGTTTGCATCAGTTTTAATGGGGGACTATTATTTTGAAGGTAAACCACCGATTCCACTATTATTACTCATGCAAACCACCGATTCAACTATTATTACTCATGCTAATGTTGTTCACGACTACTACTGGCCAAAGGAAGGCAGCTGAAGCCAAACTGTTTTTGTGAATGAACGAACCCCATCATTTGAAGTACCTCCATATTCCAACACAGGGGTGGTCTTGAATTTCGTGGTCGCAGAGAACAGAATGGAGACCGATTGACGACAGGATACATTGTGACACATCATCATTCTCTGTACTTTTCCTGCTGCTGCGACAACTGAAAGGTAACATTTGAACCTGTTGAACAGATCTAATACCGTTAGTTACAGTGGCTTGCAAAAGTATTCACCCCCCTTGGCATTTTTCTTATTTTGTTGCCTTACAACCTGGAATTAAAATAGTTTTTTGGGGGTTTGTATCATTTGATTTACACAACATGCCTATTACTTTGAAGATGTTAAATATTTTTGGGGGTGAAACAAACAAGAATTAACACAAAAAAATCAGAAAACTTGAGCGTGCATATCTATTCACCCCCCCAAAGTCAATACTTTGTAGAGCCACCTTTTGCAGCAATTACAGCTGGAAATCTCTTGGGGTATGTCTCTATAAGCTTGGCACATCTAGCCACTGGGATTTTTGCCCATTCTTCAAGGCAAAACTGCTCCAGCTCCTTCAAGTTGGATGGGTTCCGCTGGTGTACAGCAATCTTTAAGTCATACCACAGATTCTCAATTAGATTGTGGTCTGGGCTTTGACTTGGCTTTCCAAGACATTTAAATGTTTCCCCTTAAACCACTTGAGTATTGCTTTAGCAGTATGCTTTGGGTCATTGTCCTGCTGGAAGATGAACCTCCGTCCCAGTCTCAAATCTCTGGAAGACTGAAACAGGTTTCCCTCAAGAATTTCCCTGTATTTAGCGACATCCATCATTCCTTCAATTCTGGCCAGTTTCCCAGTCCCTGCCGATGAAAAACACCCCCACAGCATGATGCTGCCACCACCATGCTTCACTGTGGGGATGGTGTTCTCAGGGTGATGAGAGGTGTTGGGTTTGTGCCAGACATAGCGTTTCCCTTGATGGCCAAAAAGCTCAATTTTAGTCTCATCTGACTAGTGTACCTTCTTCCATATGTTTGGGGAGTCTCCCACATGCCCTTTGGCGAACACCAAACATGTTTGCTTATTTCTTTCTTTAAGCAATGGCTTTTTTTCTGGCACTCTTCCGTAAAGCCCAGCTCTGTGGAGTGTACGGCTTAAAGTGGTCCTATGGACAGATACTCCAATCTCCGCTGTGGAGCTTTGCAGCTCCTTCGGGGTTATCTTTGGTCTCTTTGCCTCTCTGATTAATGTCCTCCTTGCCTAGTCTGTGAGTTTTGGTGGGCGGCCCTCTCTTGGCAGGTTTGTTGTGGTGCCATATTCTTTCAATTTTTTAAATAATGGATTTAATGGTGCTCCGTGGGATGTTCAAAGTTTCTGATATTTCTTTATAACCCAACCCTGATCTGAACTTCTCCACAACTTTGTCCCTGACCTGTTTGGAGAGCTCCTTGGTCTTCATGGTGCCCCTTGCTTAGTGGTGTTGCAGACTCTGGGGCCTTTCAGAACATGTGTATATATACTGCGATCATGTGACACTTAGATTGCACACAGGTGGACTTTATTTAATTAATTATGTGACTTCTGTAGGTAATTGGTTGCACCAGATCTTATTTAGGGGCTTCATAGCAAAGGGGGTGAATACATATGCACGCACCACTTTTTCGTTATTTATTTTTTAGAATTTTTTGAAACAAGATATTTTTTACATTTCACTTCACCAATTTGGACTATTTTGTGTATGTCAATTACATGAAATCCAAATAAAAATCAATTTAAATTACAGGTTGTAATGCAACAAAATAGGAAAAACGCCAAGGGGGATGAATACTTTTGCAAGGCACTGTAGCTGGTATTTGATTCATTTTGTCTGATTAATATTGGGGGACTGTTGGCTGTTAGCATTATGTTGTTGTAATTGTGTGCCAACTGACATGTTATGTATTGCATAAATATAATGCTACTGCATCACTTCGGGAATTTAGCGACCGGTGTTCACTATTCCAGTAGCTAGCTAGCGAGCTATATAGTAGCTCGCTAGCTATATAGCTAGATAGCTAGTTATGATGTGAACGATGATGACGCTGGCTAAGTAGCCACTAATGTTACGTCAGCATTCGAATAACTACAATTATAAAGCTAAAATGTGTATTTGTTTGTATTCAGTCTTTCGATGTCTAGGTAGTTACTGTCTAGTGGTTAACTAATGTATTAAACTGATAGGTTAACTGTCAGTGGTTAGTTAGCTAACGTAACTAGTTAGCACTTTAGTTAACATGATGCTAGTTTAACGTTATTCTCGTAGCATTGGTTCTCTGCCAGCTGCTGCCAACTCATCCCCCGGCAAATTAGTTACATGGAGAAAATGTCTTGCCAGTTGCCATTCACATTCTAGTTAATGTTAGCTAGTAGTTGTCTTATTCACATGATGGTACAGTCCACATTTAAAACACTCACTTACTTAGAAGTCAGTAGTTCTGTCTCAGCTAATTAAACATCTACACGCTTTTAGATATTTATGTGTTTTGTGATTTTTTTTTCAAATAGCAAGCTAGATAGCTAGCTTTGTTTTCCCTTAAAAAGAGCCAGTATTGAGAGAGAGGATGTTGTTCCTCTGGCTCCTGCCAGGTTTCAGAGCCAGTATTTACAGAGGGGAGGTTGTTACTCTGGCTCCTGCCAGGTTTCAGAGCCAGTATTTACAGAGGAGAGGTTGTTATTCTGGCTCCTGCCAGGTTTCAGAGCCAGTATTTACAGAGGAGAGGTTGTTATTCTGGCTCCTGCCAGGTTTCAGAGCCAGTATTTACAGAGGAGAGGTTGTTATTCTGGCTCCTGCCAGGTTTCAGAGCCAGTATTTACAGAGGAGAGGTTGTTATTCTGGCTCCTGCCAGGTTTCAGAGCCAGTATTTACAGAGGAGAGGTTGTTCCTCCGGATCCTGCCAGGTTTCAGAGGCCTAATTTCTGATTTAGAAGAAATTCCAGAGACCCTAGAGAGTTCTAGGATAATACAGTTCTCAGAATATTACACCATACATGTTGCACTCACTGCACTGGAATGGATGGAGATGCATGATCTAACTTTAACAGAATGGAACCCTAACAGAATGGAACACTTAACACTATGAATGAGAATCTAACACTAAAGTTACAAAACAAAACTCATACCAGTGATATCATCACTGCATCAGGAATAGTTTGACCGGCAGTAGCCTTTGACTCCTCATCAGACCATGTTTAGCTGCATTACTGGGAATCTGGGACGTGGTTTTAGGCCCTGGTCTATGTTATTGTGTAGGTGAGCGAGGCTTCATTGCCTTTGGTGGTTATTTAGGTGCAGTAGTGTCACCGAGCTGTACTATGTACATAGCTATCAGCAGAGTCACATGACATGGCTGTTTTTCCTAGGCCTATTGACCAATTTGAAAATGTAATCTCAAGAAGGTTGATATCAGTGTTTTGTACACAATTAGTTGATATGATCTGTTCTGATAATGCTGGACAGTCATATTATCCCTGGAGAGCCCTCCCTCCCCTAGTGATTAACAGGTCAGGCTCGTGCCAGTAACCACAGTAACCAGTGGCTCTCAGGGGACTCTCTAGTTTTGAGGAAACACAAAGAAAAACTACAACTGACCCAACATTTCTTATGTGTCTGGAGCAACTAGGAGTTTTTAGAGGCATAACAAGCAATAAACTCAATTGCAACACTAAGTATTCTCTTGGCTCTGGTTATTTTTGTATAATCTGGTTATTTTAGTATGCTCTGGTTATTTTAGTATTCTCTTGGCTCTGGTTATTTTAGTATGCTCTGGTTATTTTAATATTCTCTTGGCTCTGGTTATTTTTGTTTTCTCTGGTTATTTTAATATTCTCTTGGCTCTGGTTATTTTAGTATGCTCTGGTTATTTTAGTACGCTCTGGTTATTGTAGTATTCTTTTGGCTCTGGTTATTTTAGTATGATCTTGGCTTTGGTTATTTTAATATTCTTTTGGCTCTGGTTATTTTAATATTATCTTGCTCTGGTTATTTTTGTATTCTCTTGGCTCTGGTTATTTTAGTATGCTCTGGTTATTTTAGTATTCTCTTGGCTCTGGTTATTTTAGTATGCTCTGGTTATTTTAATATTATCTTGCTCTGGTTATTTTAGTATGATCTTGCTCTGGTTATTTTAATATTACCTTGCTCTGGTTATTTTAATATTACCTTGCTCTGGTTATTTTAGTATGATCTTGCTCTGGTTATTTTAATATTACCTTGCTCTGGTTATTTTAATATTACCTTGCTCTGGTTATTTTAATATTACCTTGCTCTGGTTATTTTAATATTATCTTGCTCTGGTTATTTTAGTATGCTCTGGTTATTTTAATATTATCTTGCTCTGGTTATTTTAGTATGATCTTGGCTCTGGTTATTTTTATATTATCTTGCTCTGGTTATTTTAGTATGCTCTGGTTATTTTAATATTATCTTGCTCTGGTTATTTTAATATTATCTTGCTCTGGTTATTTTAATATGATCTGGTTATTTTAGTATGATCTTGGCTCTGGTTATGTTAGTATGATCCTGGCTTTGTGTCAGGGGGTCAGTGTGATGCGGTAGGACGAAGTCAGGCGCAGGACACAGAGCTAATCGAAAACGTACTTTACTCGTAGGTAACGTAAATAATATAACCTCCACGCAGGGAGGAAACAAACCCGCTCACCAGACGACAACCAAACATGAACAAACATGCACAACATACAGTGGGAGCCAGAGGGTTTAATAGGGAAGAAATCAATACATAATGGGAACCAGGTGTGAACAATAAAGACAAAACAAGTAGAACACAGAAACATAGATCGGTAGCAGCTAGTACTCCGGTGACGACGAATGCCGAAGCCTGCCCGAGCAAGGAGGAGGAGCATCCTCGGCTGAATCTGTGACACTTTGGTTATTTGAGTAATCTCTTGGCTCTGGTTATTTTAGTATGCTCTGGTTATTTAAGTATAATCTGGTTATTTTAATATTCTCTTTGATCTGGTTATTTTAGTATGCTCTGGTTATTTTATTATTCTCTTGGGTCTGGTTATTTTAGTATGCTCTGGTTATTTTAATATTCTCTTGGCTCTGGTTATTTTAGTATGTCTGGTTATTTTAGTATTCTCTTGACTCTGGTTACTTTAGTATGCTCTTGGCTTTGGATGTTTTAGTAGTTTCTTGGCTCTGGTTATTTTAATATGCTTTGGTTTTTTAGTATGATCTTGGCTCTGGTTATTTTAGTATGATCTTGGCTTTGGTTATTTTAGTATTCTTTTGGCTCTGGTTATTTTAGTATGATCTTGGCTTTGGTTATTTTAGTATTCTCTTGGATCCTGGTATTTTAATATGCGCCGGTTGTTTTAGTATTCTCTTCGATCTGGTTATTTTAGTGTACTCTTGGCTCTTGTTATATTAGTATGATGTTGGGTTGTTGTGATAAAGTTTCTGATTTTAGTGTTAGTTATTAGTGTGATAAGGTATTTGACAGGGTTAGTGTGATAAGGTATCTGATGTTAGTGTGATAAGGTATCTGATGTTAGTGTGATGAGGTATCTGATGTTAGGGTTAGTTGTTAGTGTGATGAGGTATCTGGTGTTAGGGTTAGTTGTTAGTGTGATGAGGTATCTGATGTTAGGGTTAGTTGTTAGTGTGATGAGGTATCTGATGTTAGGGTTAGTGTGATGAGGTATCTGATGTTAGGGTTAGTTGTTAGTGTGATGAGGTATCTGGTGTTAGGGTTAGTGTGATGAGGTATCTGATGTTGGGGTTAGTGTGATGAGGTATCTGATGTTAGGGTTAGTTGTTAGTGTGATGAGGTATCTGATGTTGGGGTTAGTGTGATGAGGTATCTGATGTTAGGGTTAGTTGTTAGTGTGATGAGGTATCTGATGTTAGGATTAGTGTGATGAGGTATCTGATGTTAGGGTTAGTTGTTAGTGTGATGAGGTATCTGATGTTAGGGTTAGTGTGATGAGGTATCTGATGTTAGGGTTAGTTGTTAGTGTGATGAGGTATCTGATGTTAGGATTAGTTGTTAGTGTGATGAGGTATCTGATGTTAAGATTAGTTGTTAGTGTGATGAGGAATCTGATGTTATGGTTAGTGTGATGAGGTATCTGATGTTAGGGTTAGTGTGATGAGGTATCTGATGTTATGGTTAGTTATTAGTGTGATGAGGTATCTGATGTTAGTGTGATGAGGAATCTGATGTTAGGGTTAGTTATTAGTGTGATGAGGTATCTGATGTTAGGGATAGTTGTTAGTGTGATGAGGTATCTGATGTTAGGGATAGTTGTTAGTGTGATGAGGTATCTGATGTTAGTGTGATGAGGTATCTGGTGTTAGGGTTAGTTGTTAGTGTGATGAGGTATCTGGTGTTAGGGTTAGTTGTTAGTGTGATGAGGTATCTGATGTTAGGGTTAGTGTGATGAGGTATCTGATGTTATGGTTAGTTGTTAGTGTGATGAGGTATCTGATGTTAGGGTTAGTTGTTAGTGTGATGAGGTTAGGGTTAGGGTTAGGGTTAGGGTTAGGGTTAGGGTTAGGGTTAATGGTGTTGATGTGAGCCATGACCAGCCTTTCAAAGCACTTCATGGCTACAGACGTCAGTGCTACGGGTCGGTAGTCATTTAAGCAGGTTATCTTAGTGTCCTTGGGCACAGGGACTATGGTGGTCTGCTTGAAACATGTTGGTATTACAGACTCAGTCAGTGACATGTTGAAAATGTCAGTGAAGACACTTGCCAGTTGGTCAGCACATGCTCGGAGTACACGTCCTGGTAATCCGTCTGGCCCTGCAGCCTTGTGAATGTTGACCTGTTTAAAGGTCTTACTCACATCGGCTATGGAGAGCATGATCACATAGTCATCCGGAACAGCTGGTGCTCTCATGCATGCTTCAGTGTTGCATGCCTCGAAGCGAGCATAGAAGTGATTTAGCTCGTCTGGTAGGCTTGTGTCACTGGGCAGCTCGTGACTGTGCTTCCCTTTGTAGTCTGTAATAGATTTCAAACCCCGCCACATCCGACGAGCGTCAGAGCCAGTGTAGTACGATTCAATCTTAGTCCTGTATTGACTCTTTGCCTGTTTGATGGTTCGTCTGAGGGCATAGCGGGATTTCTTATAAGCGTCCAGGTTAGAGTCCTGCTCCTTGAAAGCGGCAGCTCTACCCTTTAGCTCAGTGTGGATGTTGCCTGTAATCCATGGCTTCTGGTTGGGGTATGTACGTACGGTCACTGTGGGGACGACGTCATCGATGCACTGAATGATGAAGCCAGTGACTGATGTGGTGTACTCCACAATGCTATCTGAAGAATCCCGGAACATATTCCAGTCTGTGCTAGTGAAACAGTCGCTAGCATCTGCGTCATCTGACCACTTTTTTTATTAACCGAGTCATTGGTGCTTCCTGCTTTAGATTTTGCTTATAAGCAGGAATCAGGAGGACAGAGTTATGGTCAGATTTGCCAAATGGAGGGTGAGGGAGAGCTTTATTTAAATTATGGAGGTAAGGTAATAAATAGGCCATAGTGCAAAATAGTTACAATTTCGTATTAACACTGGAATGATAGATGTGCAAGAGATGATGTGCAAATAGAGATACTGGGGTGCAAATGAGCAAAATAAATAACAATATGGGGATGAGGTAGTTGGGTAGGCTAATTTCAGATGGGCTGTGTACAGGTGCAGTGATCGGTAAGATGCTCTGACAACTGATGCTTAAAGTTAGTGAGGGAGATAAGAGTCTCCAGCTTCGAGATTTTTGCAGTTCGTTCCAGTCATTGGCAGCAGAGAACTGGAAGGAATGGCGGCCAAAGGAGGTGCTGGCTTTGGGGATGACCAGTGAGATATACATGCTGGAGCGCAGACTACGGGTGGGTGTTGCTATGGTGACCAGTGAGCTAAGATAAGACAGGGATTTGCCTAGCAGTGATTTATAGATGACCTGGAGCCAGTGGGTTTGGCGACGAATATGTAGTGAGGGCCAGCCAACAAGAGCGTACAGGTCACAATGGTGAGTAGTATATGGGGCTTTGGTGACAAAACAGATGGCACTGTGATAGACTACATCCAATTTGCTGAGTAGAGTGTTGGAAGCTATTTTGTAAATGACATCGCCGAAGTCAAGGATCTGTAGGATAGTCAGTTTTACGAGGGCATGTTTGGCAGCATGAGTGGAGGAGGCTTTGTTGCGAAATAGGAAGCCGATTCTAGATCTAACTTTTGATTGGAAATGCTTAATGTGAGTCTGGAAGGAGAGTTTAATGTCTAACCAGACACCGAGGTATTTGTAGTTGTCCACATACTCTAGGTCAGACCCGCCGAGAGTAGTGATTCTAGTCGAGTGGGCGGGTGCAAGCAGCGTTCGGTTGAAGAGCATGCATTTAGTTTTACTAGTGTTTAAGAGCAGTTGGAGGCAACGGAAGGAGTGTTGAATGGAGTTGAAGCTCATTTGGAGTTTGTTAACACAGTGTCCAATGAAGGGCCAGATGTATACAAAATGGTGTCGTCTGCATAGAGGTGGATCCGAGCGTCACCAGCAGCAAGAGCGACATCATTGATATACACAGAGAATAGAGTCGGCACGAGAATTGAACCCTGTGGCACCCCCATAGAGACTGCCAGAGGTCCAGACAACAGGCCCTCCGATTTGACACATTGAACTCTATCTGAGAAGTAGTTGGTGAACCAGGCGAGGCAGTCAGTTGAGAAACCAAGGCTATTTAGTCTGCCAATAAGAATGCGGTGGTTGACAGAGTCGAAAGCCTTGGCCAGGTCGATGAAGACGGCTGCGCAGTACTGTCTTTTATCGATCGCGGTTATAATATATTGTTTAGGACCTTGAGCGTGGCTGAGGTTCACCCATGACCAGCTCGGAAACCGGATTGCATAGCGGAGAAGGTACGGTGGAATTCAAAGTGGTCGGTGATCTGTTTGTTAACTTGGCTTTCAAATACTTTCGAAAGGCAGCGCAGGATGGATATAGGTCTGTAACTGTTTGGAACCAGAGTGTCACCACCTTTGAAGAGGGGGATGACCGCGGCAGCTTTCCAATCTCTGGGGATCTCAGACGTTACGAAAGAGAGGTTGAACAGGCTAGTAATAAGGGTTGCGACAATTTTGGCGGCTAATTTAAAAAAGAAAGGGTCCAGATTGTCTATCCCAGCTGATTTGTAGGGATCCAGATTTTTCAGCTCTTTCAGAACATCAGCTGTCTGAATTTGTGTGAAGGAGAAGTGGGGGGGGGGATGGGCAAGTTGCAGCGGAGGGTGCAGAGCTGGTGGCTGGGGTAGGGTTAGCCAGGTGGAAAGCATGGCCAGCCGTAGCAAAATGCTTGTTGAAATTATCGATTATCGTAGATTTATCGGTGGTGATAGTGTTTCCTAGCCTCAGTGCATTGGGTAGCTGGGAGGAGGTGCTCTTATTCTCCATGGACTTTACAGTGTCCCAAAACTTTTTGGAGTTAGTGCTACAGGATGCACATTTCTTTTAGAAAAAGATAGCCTTTGCTTTCCAAACTGATTGTGCATATTGGTTCCTGACTTCCCTGAAAAGTTGCATATCGCGGGGTCTGTTCGGTGCTAATGCAATATGCCACAGGATGTTTTTGTGCTGGTCAAGGGCAGTCAAGTCTGGGGTGAACCAGGGGCTATATATGTTCTTATTTTAGAATTTTGTGAATGGGGCATGCTTATTTAAGATGGAGAGGAAAGCACTTTTGAAGAACATCCAGGCATCCTCTACTGACGGAATGAGGTCAATATCCATCCAGGTTACCCGGGCCAGGTCAATCAGAAAGGCCTGCTTGCTGAAGTGTTTTAGGGAGTGTTTGACAGTGATGAGGGGTGGTCGTTTGACCGCGGACCCATTACGGACGCAGGCAATGAGGCAGTGATCGCTGATATCCTGGTTGAAGACAGCGGACGTGTATTTAGAGGGTAAATTAGGATGATATCTATGAGGGTGCCCATGTTTACGGATTTAGGGTTGTACCTGGTAGGTTCCTTGATAATTTGTGGGAGATTCAGGCCATCTAGTTTAGATTGCAGGACGGCCGGGGTGTTAAGCATATCCCAGTTTAGGTCACCAAGCAGTACGAACTCTGAGGATAGATGGGGGCAAGCAATTCACATATGGTGTCGAGGGCACAACTGGGGGCTGAAACAGGTTTCTTAGAAATTTTTGCAAATGTGTTAAAAATACAAAACAGATTACTGTTTCTACTGATGACATGACTATCATCCTGTGGTCCTCAATTGGTAGAGCATGGCGCTTGTAACGCCAGGGTAGTGGGTTCGATCCCCGGGACCAACCATACGTAAAAATGTATGCACACATGACTGTAAGTCGCTTTGGATAAAAGCGTCTGCTAAATGGCATATTATATTCTTATTATCACATTAAAATCAAATCAAATCAAATGTTATTTGCTACATGCACCGAATACAACATGTGTTGAAATGCTTACTTACAAGCCCATAACCAACAATGCAGTTTAAGAAAAAAAAGAAGCAAATGATTAAAGAGCAGCAGTAAAATTAAATAACAGTAGGGAGGTTATATACAGGGGGTACCGGTACAGAGTCAATGTGCGGGGGCACCGGTTAGTCAAGGTAATTGAGGTAATATGTACATGTGGGTAGAGTTAAAGTGACTATGCATTGATAATAAACAGAGTAGCAGCAGCGTAAAAGAGGGGGTTGGGGTAGGGTGAGGTGAGGTGGGGGGGTGGGAAATGCAAATAGTCCGGGTAGCCATGATTAGCTGTTCAGGAGTCTTATGGCTTGGGGGTAGAAGCTGTTATGAAGCCTTTTGGACCTAGACTTGGCGCTCCAGTAACGTTTGCTGTGCGGTAGCGGAGAGAACAGTCTATGACTAGGGTGGCTGGAGTCTTTGATATTGTTAGGGCCTTCCTCTGACACCGCCTGGTATAGAGGTCCTGGATGGCAGGAAGCTTTGCCCCACTGGGCCTTCCTCTGACACCGCCTGGTATAGAGGTCCTAGATGGCAGGAAGCTTGGCCCCACTGGGCCTTCCTCTGACACCGCCTGGTATAGAGGTCCTGGATGGCAGGAAGCTTGGCCCCACTGGGCCTTCCTCTGACACCGCCTGGTATAGAGGTCCTGGATGGCAGGAAGCTTGGCCCCACTGGGCCTTCCTCTGACACCGCCTGGTATAGAGGTCCTGGATGGCAGGAAGCTTGGCCCCACTGGGCCTTCCTCTGACACCGCCTGGTATAGAGGTCCTGGATGGCAGGAAGCTTTGCCCCACTGGGCCTTCCTCTGACACCGCCTGGTATAGAGGTCCTGGATGGCAGGAAGCTTGGCCCCACCCTGTCTTCCTCTAACACCGCCTGGTATAGAGGTCCTGGATGGCAGGAAGCTTGGCCCCACTGGGCCTTCCTCTGACACTGCCTGGTATAGAGATCCTGGATGGCAGGAAGCTTGGCCCCACTGGGCCTTCCTCTGACACCGCCTGGTATAGAGGTCCTGGATGGCAGGAAGCTTTGCCCCATTGGGCCCCTCTGACACCGCCTGGTATAGAGGTCCTGGATGGCAGGAAGCTTGGCCCCACTGGGCCTTCCTCTGACACCGCCTGGTATAGAGGTCCTGGATGGCAGGAAGCTTGGCCCCAGCTAAGCTTTTGTTGTCTGCTCGTTCGCAGCTGCTGCAGCAGGTGTTATCAAAGAGGATGTTGTTGCTAATTTGTTAGCTTCTCCCTTTTCAAGAATGACTTTCAACATTAGTGATCATCTGGTGAGTGGGATTGTGTTTTTTATTGCAGCCCACTTGCTGTTGTTAGCCATTTCTTTGAAAATAACTTTTGTGAAACATTGTTGTATTTAAAGTGGAACTGACTGCATTTTAGCAACATGACATCACATTAAACTCTGTTCATATTCACCCCCAGGAAGAATATTACACTTTAAAACATTTTCTAACATGCGACCACTTAGATATGGTCATTTTCACGTTTTCATAAATTCTTAGAATGTTTTGGAATTACGTATACTAAGCTATTTGTGAAAATTCTAAAGCAATATAGAGTGGGAAAGCGGTCGTGCATTTGGACAATTAATAGACACTGCAGTAAATAAAACCGAATAAAAACATCTGTCTTGTCCAGGACTGGAGTCTACACAGGCCTTTATACAAACAAGCCATTTGCCACACGGGCCTGCCATCATTCACTGTGAACTGGACTGTGTTTACAGGCAGTAGCAACAGCATGACTTTAGATCATTAGAACACATTTGCCAAAAGCCATAAAATACACCTGAATGGATTTCTGCAAATATGTAAACACCACGGGAGTCCTCTTACATTTGGGAACTTTACAGACCTATTGATCAAACAACCATGAAAAGGTAGGCTCTCTCTCTCTCAGCTATGCACATCAACAAGCCAGAGCAAGATGAGCTAAAATCTAACGAAGGAACATTAGATAAACCCTCTCAAACTTTTTCAGCTAGTGGGCCGTTAAAATTGCACTGATAAACGATGAGGAATTGTAGCCTCCTCGTCATTCTGCAGCTTGCCTGCCAATGCATGCTTGTCTCAACCAAGCACCCAAACTAACTGTCTAAAGTTGGCTAGATTGCTAACTAGCTACTTCCAGACACAAATGATGTGTGTGACTGCTTATCCTTTATCATAATGTGTGTGACTGCTTATCCTTTAGCATCATGCTGTGTGACTGCTTATCTTTAACATCATACTGTGTGACTGCTTATCCTTTAACATCATGCTGTGTGTGACTGCTTATCCTTTAACATCATGCTGTGTGACTGCTTATCCTTTACCATCATGCTGTGTGACTGCTTATCCTTTAACATCATGCTGTGTGACTGCTTATCTTTAACATCATACTGTGTGACTGCTTATCCTTTAACATCATGCTGTGTGACTGCTTATCTTTAACATCATGCTGTGTGACTGCTTATCTTTAACATCATGCTGTGTGACTGCTTATTCCTTTAAACATCATGCTGTGTGACTGCTTATCCTTTAACATCATGCTGTGTGACTGCTTATCCTTTAACATCATTGCTGTGTGTGACTGCTTATCCTTTAACATCATGCTGTGTGTGACTGCTTATCCTTTACCATCATGCTGTTGTGACTGCTTATCCTTTACATCATGCTGTGTGACTGCTTATCCTTTAACATCATGCTGTGTGACTGCTTATCCTTTAACATCATGCTGTGTGACTGCTTATCCTTTAACATCATGCTGTGTGACTGCTTATCCTTTACATCCTTACCTTATCATTTAACTTCATGCTGTGTGACTGCTTATCCATTTAACATCATGCTGTGTGACTGCTTATCCTTTAACATCATGCTGTGTGACTGCTTATCCTTTAACTCATGCTGTGTGTGACTGCTATCTTTAACATCATGCGGGACGCTATCCTTAACCAGTGTGTGACTGTCTTTCAGTGGCCTCTAATCATGTGTGTGACTGCTTATCTGACATCATGTGGTGTGGCTGCTTTCCTTAACATCAGTGTGTGACTGCTGTCTTTCCATCGGCCCTATCCAGTGGTACAGTGGTGCTGTCTTTCCATCGGCCCTATCCAGTGGTACAGTGGTGCTGTCTTTCCATCGGCCCTATCCAGTGGTACAGTGGTACAGTCCTCTCCTCTCAGTGGTACAGTCCTCTCCTCTCAGTGGTACAGTGGTACAGTCCTCTCCTCTCAGTGGTGTAGTGGTGCCTGGAAAAGTGTATATACTCTAATTTTGCAAAACTGTTCCCAAACGGCCCAGCGACGGAAAGGCACCCTGCGTGAAAAATCCTATGTTTTCTTGAGTTTTCCTCAAAACAACACTTTTTTAAATAGAAAAAATACAAAAATGTGATGGTCTAAGTCCACAACAATGCTTAAACCACATCAATCTGATTGGGTGGGTCTGTCAGGGCCTGGATCCCCAGTGGGTGGGTCTGTCAGGGCCCGGCTCCCCAGTGGGTGGGTCTGTCAGGGCCTGGCTCCCCAGTGGGTGGGTCTGTAAGGGCCTGGATCCCCAGTGTGTGGGCCTGTAAGGGCCTGGATCCACAGTGGGTGGGTCTGTCAGGGCCTGGCTCCCCAGTGGGTGGGTCTGTAAGGGCCTGGATCCCCAGTGTGTGGGCCTGTAAGGGCCTGGATCCCCAGTGGGTGGGCCTGTAAGGGCCTGGATCCCCAGTGGGTGGGCCTGTCAGGGCCTGGCTCCCCAGTGGGTGGGCCTGTAAGGGCCTGGATCCCCAGTGGGTGGGCCTGTCAGGGCCTGGCTCCCCAGTGGGTGGGCCAGTCAGGGCCTGGCTCCCCAGTGGGTGGGCCTCTGTCCACCCAGGCCCATCCATGTCTACGCTGCTGATGCAAACATCGCATGATGACAATTGCACATCACAAATAGCCTACTAACCAACACTAAATAAAGTGGGATGTAAATATTTGGCCTGGCGAAGCAGTTTTATGGGATGACTGAATGGAAGCTGATAATTATGAGTTTTTTACTCCGCTGGTCTCGGGACAAAATGATGAGTCCTCACTATCCAGGACCAAGGGTTAGGGTTAGGGTTAGGGTTAGGGTTAGGGTTAGGGTTAGGGTTATTAGGACTATAACCCTAACCCTATCCCTATTCAGGACCGAGTCAAGACCAAGTAAAAATGTATCCGACACCGAGACAAGACTGAGTCACTCAATATGTGACCGCTCTTGAGCACTACTACACTGCTGATGACCAGGTTTAGGGTTGTAGTCCTTGTAAGTAATGATGACCAGGTTTAGGGTTGTAGTCCTTGTAAGTAATGATGACCAGGTTTAGGGTTGTAGTCCTTGTAAGTATGGACTATTTGATTTTGGACATAACAATCTCCAGGTACAGTCCAGTCGTCTCAGTGAGCAGTAGAACATGTTAGTTATGTAGTTACATGTTATATTCTCTCTGTCTCCAGGTACAGTCGTCCCAGTGAGCTGGTAGAAGACAGGCCTTACTCACCAGACAGCCTGATAACCTGGAGGTAGAAGACAGGCCTTACTCATCAGACAGCCTGATAACCTGGAGGTAGAAGACAGGCCTTACTCACCAGACAGCCTGATAACCTGGAGGTAGAAGACAGGCCTTACTCACCAGACAGCCTGATAACCTGGAGGTAGAAGACAGGCCTTACTCACCAGACAGCCTGATAACCTGGAGGTAGAAGACAGGCCTTACTCATCAGACAGCCTGATAACCTGGAGGTAGAAGACAGGCCTTACTCATCAGACAGCCTGATACCTGGAGGTAGAAGACAGGCCTTACTCATCAGACAGCCTGATAACCTGGAGGTAGAAGACAGGCCTACTCACCAGACAGCCTGATAAACCTGGAGGTAGAAGACAGGCCTACTCACCAGACAGCCTGATAACCTGGAGGGAAGACAGGCCTTACTCACCAGACAGCCTGATAACCTGGAGGTAGAAGACAGGCCTTACTCACCAGACAGCCTGATAACCTGGAGGTAGAAGATAGAAACTAACAGACACTCTAAACAGTCTTCATAAGAGTCCTGCTATTCTATCAAGGACCTACCAAATCTTAGGATACATCCTGTCGCCTTAGAGTCTAGGGTACAAGCCACGCCAACTCTTGGCAGAAGGACACTTCCTAGGGCCCTAGAGTCTAGGGTACAAGCCACGCCAACCCTTGGTAGAAGGACAATTCCTAGGGCCCTAGAGGCTAGGGTACAAGCCACGCCAACCCTTGGGTAAAGGACCACGTCCTAGGGCCCTAGAGTCTAGGGTACAAGCCACGCCAACCCTTGGTAGAAGGACACTTCCTAGGGCCCTAGAGGCTAGGGTACAAGCCACGCCAACCCTTGGTAGAAGGACACTTCCTAGGGCCCTAGAGGCTAGGGTACAAGCCACGCCAACCCTTGGTAGAAGGACACTTCCTAGGGCCCTGAGGAGGGACTAGGAACAAGCAACCCAACCCCTTGGCAGAAGGATACTTGATGTTCTCACTCTTCAACCATGTGAACAACACTCGTATGTGTTGAGAAGAACAGTCTATACATATCCTAATAAAGTAGAGCCACTGTGTGCAGCACTGGTTCCAGTCAGACTAGACCAGGGATGGGGAACCATACAGCTACTGCTGATATTACGTTTCATAATGTATGGAATGAGACCTGTGTAACAGTGTGGATATACAGCTCAGTACCTGTGTAACAGTGTGGATCAGCTCTACTTGTACAGTGTGTTACAGCTCAGTACCTGTGGTAACAGTGTTTATACTCTCATTACCTGTGTAAACAGTGTGTATACAGCTCCAGTACCTGTTTGTAACAGTGTAGATAAAGCTCAGTACCTGTGTAACAGTGTGTATAAGATCAGTACCTGTGTAACAGCTGTGTATACAGCTACAGTACCGTGTACAGGGGGTAACAGCTAAGCTACCTGTGAACCAGTGTGTGTATACAGCTCAGTACCTGTTGTACCGTGATACAGCTCAGTACCGGGTAACAGTTGTGGTATAAGCTCAGTACCTGTGGGTAACATTGTGTATACAGCTCAGTAACTGTGTAACGTTGTATACAGCTCGTACCTGTGTAACAGTGTGTATACAGCTCAGTACCTGTGTAACAGTGTGTATACAGCTCAGTACCTGTGTAACAGTGTGTATACAGCTCAGTACCTGTGTACAGTGTGTATACAGCTCAGTACCTGTGTAACAGTGGTATTACCGCTCATTACCTGGGGTGTTTTAAACAGTGTGATACAGCTCAGTACCTGTGTAACAGTGTGGTATACAGATTCAGTACCTGTGTAACAGTGTGTGTATAAAGCTTCAGTACCTGTTGTAACAGGTGTGTATACAAGTCAAGACCTGTGTAACAGGTGGTGTATACAGCTCAGTACCTGTGTAACGGTTGTGTATACAGTTCGTACTGTGTAAACAGTGTGTATACGATCAGTAAGGTGTAACAGTGTGTATACAGCTCAGTACCTGTGTAACAGGTGTGTATACAGCTCAGTACCTGTGTAACAGTGTGTATACAGCTCAGTACCTGTGTAACAGTGTGTATACAGCTCAGTACCTGTGTAACAGTGCGTGTATACAGCTCAGTACCTGTGTAACAGTGGTAACAGCTCAGGTACCTGCTTGGAAAAGTGTGTATACAGTCAGTACCTGTGTAACAGTGTGTATACAGCTCTAGTACCTTGTGTAACGTTGTGTATACAGCTCAGTACTGGTAACAGTGTGTATACAGCTCAGTACCTGTGTAAACAGTGTGTATACAGCTCAGTACCTGTGTAACAGTGTGTATACAGCTCAGTACCTGTGTAACAGTGTGTATACAGCCCAGTACCTGTGTAACAGTGTGGATACAGCTCAGTACCTGTGTAACATGTGGACAGCTCGTACCTGTGTAACAGTGTGTATACGCTCAAGTACCTGGTGTAACAGTGTGATACAGCTCAGTACTGGATAACAGTGTGTATACAGACCAGTACTGTGTAACAGTGTGGATACAGCTCAGTACCTGTGTAACAGGTTATACAGCTCAGTACTGTGCTAACAGTGGTAACAGCCATACCTGTGTAACAGTGTGTATACAGTTCAAGTAACCTGTTGTAACAGTGTTGTATACAGCTCAGTACCTGGTACAGTGTGTATAATAGCCCAGTAAACCTGTGTAAACAGTGGTGGATTACAGCTCAGTACTGTGTAACAGTGTGGATACAGCTCAGTACCTGTGTAACAGTGTGTATACAGCTCAGTACCTGTGTACAGGTGGATCCAGCTCAGTACTCGTGTACAGGTTGTGTATACAGCTCAGTACCTGGTAAACCGTGTGTATACACAGCTCCAGTACCTGTGTACAGTGTGTATACAGCTCAGTACCTGTTAACAGTGTATACGATCAGTACCGTGTGTAACAGTGTGTTATTACAGCTCAGACCGTGTAACAGGTGTATACGCTCAGTAGCCTGTGTAACAGTGGGGTAGACCGCCCAGTACTGTGTTGTAACAGTGTGTATACGACTCAGTACCTGTGTAAACAGGTGTATACAGCCCAGTACCTGTTGTAACAGTGTGTATACAGCTCAGTACCTGTGTAACAGTGTGTATACAGCTCAGTACCTGTGTAACAGTGTGTATACAGCTCAGTACCTGTGTAACAGTGTGTATACAGCCCAGTACCTGTGTAACAGTGTGTATACAGCTCAGTACCTGTGTAACAGTGTGTATACAGCTCAGTACCTGTGTAACAGTGTGTATTACGCTTCAGACCTGTGTAACAGTGTGTTAACAGCTAAGTACCGTGTGTGTAACAGTGTGGGTATACCCAGCACATCACCGCTCAACGCCCCCCACCCCCCCCGGTAACACGTGTCACGCCATACACGCCATTCCCACCCCCCGCCCCCCCCGGATTAACTGTGTAACGTGGTGTATTACAGCTCAGTTACTGGTGCTAAACAGGTGATACAGCTCAGTACCTGTGTAACAGTGTGTATACAGCTCAGTACCTGTGTAACAGTGTGTATACAGCTCAGTACTGTGTAACAGTGTGTATACAAGCCCAGTCAGTACTGTGTAACAGTGTGGCTGACAGCTCAATACCTGTGTGTAACAGTGGGTATACAGCTCAGTACTCTGTTGTAACAGTGTTGTATACAGCCCAGTCCCTGTGTAACAGGATGTATACAGCTAGTACCTGTGCTGTAACAGTGTGTATAAGCTCAGTACCTGTGTAACAGTGTGTATACAGCTCAGTACCTGTGTAACAGTGTGTATACAGCTCAGTACCTGTGTAACAGTGTGTATACAGCTCAGTACCTGTGTAACAGTGTGTATACAGCTCAGTACCTGTGTAACAGTGTGTATACAGCTCAGTACCTGTGTAACAGTGTGAACGACAGTACCTGTTGTAACAGTGTGGAGAAGCTCAGTACCTGTGTAACAGACGTGGCATTACAGCTCAGAGTACTGTGTAACAGTGTGTATACGCCCAGTTACCTGGTAACAGTGTGTATACACTCTAGTACCTGTGTAACAGTGTGGATAAAAGCTCAGTGAACCTGTGGACAGTGTGTATACAGCTCAGTACCTGTGTAACAGTGTGTATACAGCTCAGTACCTGTGTAACAGTGTGTATACAGCTCAGTACCTGTGTAACAGTGTGTATACAGCTCAGGATCCTGTGTAACAGTGTGTACAGCCAGACCTGTGTAACAGGGGTGATACAGCTCAGTACCTGGAACAGTGTGTAACAAGCTCAGTACCTGTGTACAGTGTGTATACAGCTCAGTACCTGTTGTAACAGTGTTATAAGAACTCAGTTAACTGGGTAACAGTGTGTATACAGCTCAGTACCTGGTTAACAGTGTTTATTACCGCTCAGTACAGGTGTAACAGTGTGTATACAAGACTCGTAACTGTGAACAGTGTGTATTAAGCTCGGACCTGTGTAACAGTGTGTATACAGCTCGAGTAACACTGTTGTAACAGTGTGTATACAGCCCAGATACAGGTGTACCAAGTGTGGATACAGCTCCAGTACCTGTGTAACAGTGTATACAGTCAGTAACTGTGTAAACAGTGTGTATACAGCCCAGTACCTGTGTAAACAGTCGGGGATAAAGCTCAGTACCTGTGTAAACAGTGTGTATGACAGCAATACCTGGGTAACATGTGTATACAGCCTCAGGACCTGTGTAAAACCAGTGTGGATTACAGATCAGTACCTGTGTAAAAGTGTGTATACAGCCCAGGTACTGTGTAACAGTTGATAAAGCTCAAAGTACCCTGTGTAACAAGTGTGTATACAAGACCAGTACCTGTGTAAACAGTGTTATACGGCCTCAGTACCTGTGTAAACAGTGTGTATACAGCTCAGTACCTGTGTACACAGTGTGTATACAGCTCAGAAGGACTGTTAACAGTGTGTATTACAGCTCAGTACCGTAGTAACAGGGTGGGTGGATACAGTCAAGTACCTGTGTAACAGTGTGTATACAGCCTCAAGTACTGTGTAACAGGTTGGTGTATACAGGCTCCAGTACTGTGTAAACAGTGTGTATACAGCTCATTACCTGGTAACCGTGTTATACAGCTCAGAGTACTGTGTAACGTGTGTATAAGACTCAGTACTGTGTAAAGGTGTGTAACAGCTCAGTACCTGTGTAACAGTGGTATACAGTCAATGTTACCTGTGTAACAGTGTGATACAAGTCAGACCTGTGTAACAGTGTTTTATACAGCTCAGTTACCTGTGTAACAGTGTGTTATACAGATAGTACCTGTGTAACAGGGTATAACAGCTCAGTACCTTGTGAACAGTGGTATACAGCTCAGTACCTGTTGTAACAGTTGTATAAGCTCACGTACCTGTGTAAACAGTGTGTATACAGCTCAGTACCTGTGTTGTACAGTGTGTATAAAGCTCAGTACCTGTTGTAAACAGTGATGTTACAGCTCAGTACCTGGTAACAGGGTGTATAAGCCTCAGTACCTGTGTAACAGGTGTGTATAAGCTCAGACCTGTGTAACAGTGTGGATACAGTCGAGTACCTGGTCACAGTGTGTATACAGATCAGTCCCTTGTAACAGTGTGTATCAGCTCTACGTACCTGTTGTAACCAGTGTGTATACAGCTCAGTCCTGTTGTAACGTGTGTATAAGCTCAGTACCTGTGTAAACAGTGTGTATACAGACCTAGTACTGTGTAACAGTGTGGATACAGCCTCAGTACTGTGTAACAGTGTGGATTACAGCTCAGTACCTGTGTAAACAGTGTGGATACAGCTCAGTAAAACCCTTGGTAACAGTGTGTATACAGATCAGTAACCTGGGTAACAAGTGTGTATACAGCTCAGTACAGTTTTGAACAGGTGTAGAAAGTAGTACTGTGTACAGTGTGTTATTACCGCTCAGTACCTGTGGAACAGTGTGTAACAGCATCAGTTACCTGTGTAACAGTGTGTATACAGACTCAATACCTGTTGTAACAGTGTGTATACAGCTCAGTATTTGAACAGTGTGTATAAGCTCAGGTGACCTGGTAACTAGTGTGGATACAGCTCAGTACCTGGTACAGTGTGTATACAGCTCAAGTACTGTGTAACAGTGTGTATTACAGCTCAGTACCTGGTTGTGTAACGTGTGTATTAAAGCTCAGACCTGTGTAACCGTTGTATACAGCTCAGTACTGTGTAACAGTGGGTAGACAAGTCAGTACCTGTGTAAAAGTGTGTATAAGCTCAGTACTGTGTAACCCAGGTGTATACAGCTCGTACCTGTGTAACAGTGTGTAACAGCTCGGACCTGTGTAACAGTGTGTATACAGCTCAAGTACCTGTTTGTAACAGTTGTATACCGCTCAGTTAACCTGTTTTGTAACACCGTGGTATACAGATCAGTACTTGTGTAACGTGTGTGTATACAGCTCCAGTACCTGTTAACAGTGTTGTATACAGCTCAGTACCTGTGTACAGTGGTATACAGCATCGAGTACCTGTTGTAACAGTGTGTATATACAGCTCCGATACCTGTGTTACAGTGTGTATAAAGCCCAGTACTGTGTAACAGTGTGGAACAGCTCAGTACTGTGTAAACAGTGTGTTAACAGCTCTTAGTACCTGTGAACAGTGTGTATACAGCTCATACTGGGTTGTACAGTGTGTATTACAGATCAGTTACTGTTGGAACATGTGTATACAGCTCAGTACCTGTGTCACAGTGTGTATAACAGCTCAGTACCTGTGTAAGTGTGGTATACAGTCTAAGTACCTGTGTAACAGTGTGTATAAGCTCGTACCTGTTGTAACAGTGGTATACAGCCCAAGTACCGGTGTAACAGTGTGGGATACAGCTCAAGTACTGTTGTAACAGTGTGTATACAGCCCCAGTACCTGTGTAACAGTCTCTGTTGGTATACGCCCAAGTACCTGTTGTAACAGTGTGGGATACAGCTCAGCAGTACCTGTGTAACAGTGTGTATAAGCCCAGTACCTGTGTAACAGGTTGTGTATACAGCGCAGACCTGTTTTGTAACAGTGTGATACAGCAGAAGTACCTGTGTAACAGTTGTGTATAAAGCCCCAAAGGACCTGTTTGGTTGTATGTAACAGTCTGTGGATACACTCAGCTAATCCTGTGTAAACAGTGTGCTATACAGCTCGTACCTGTGTAACAGTATGTGATATTACAGCTCAGTACATGTGTAACAGTGTGGAACAGCTCTAGTACCTGTGTAACAGTGTGTACAGCTCAGTACCTGTTGTAACAGGGTGGTATAAGCCTTCAGTACTGTTGTAACAGTGTGTATACAGCTCAGTACCTGTGTAACAGTGTGTATACAGCTCAGTACCTGTGTAACAGTGTGTATACAGCTCAGTACCTGTGTAACAGTGTGTATACAGCTCAGTACCTGTGTAACAGTGTGTATACAGCTCAGTACCTGTGTAACAGTGGGTGTATACAGCTCAGTACCTGTGTAACAGTGTGTATACAGCTCAGTACCTGTGTAACAGTGTGTTGATACAGCTCAGTACCTGTGTAACAGTGTGTATACAGCTCAGTACCTGTGTAACAGTGTGTATACAGCTCAGTACCTGTGTAACAGTGTGTATACAGCTCCAGTACCTGTGTAACAGTGTGGATACAGCTCAGTACCTGTGTAACAGTGTGTATACAGCTCAGTACCTGTGTAACAGTGTGTATACAGCTCAGTACCTGTGTAACAGTGTGTATACAGCTCAGTACCTGTGTAACAGTGTGTATACAGCACCCCTCAGTACTGTGAACAGGTGTTACAGCACAGTACCTGTTTGTAATAGTGTTATACAGCTCTAGTACCTGTGTGAAACAGTGTGTATTACAGACTCAGTACCTGTGTAACAGTGTGTCTGTATACAGAGCTCAGATACCTACAGTGTAACAGTTGTGTAGACAGACTCCAAGTAACTGTGTAACAGTGTTGTATACAGCTCATGTCTGGTGTAACAGGTTTGTGTATAAAGCTCAGTACATGTGTTACAGTGTGATAAGCTCAGCTACCTGTGTACAGGTGTATACAGCCTCAGTACCTGTGTAACAGTGTGTAACAGCTCCAGCTACCTGTGTATGTAACAGTGTTGTAATTAACCAAGCTCAGTACCTGGTAACAGTTGGTATACAGCATCAGTACACTGGGTAACAGTGTGGATACAGCTCAGTACCTTGTTGTAACAGAGTGTTGTATCAGCTTTTTTCCCCCCCAGTACCTGTTGTAACAGTGTGTATACAGCTTCAGTACCTGGGTAAACAGTTTGTATACAGCTCAGTACCTGTGTAACAGTGTGCTAAGCTCAGTACCTTGTAACAGTGTGTCATACAGCTCAGTACCGTGTAACAGTTGTGCATAAAGCTCAGTACCTGTGGAACAGTGTGTATACAGTCAGTACCTGGGTAACAGTGTGTATACAGCCCTTAGTACCGGTGTAAACAGTGTGTAGACAGCTCAAGTAACTGTGTCACAGTGTGTATACAGCTCAGTACCTGTGCTAACAGTACTATGTGTATACAGCTCAGTACCTGGTAACAGTGTGTATACCGATCATACCTGTGTAACAGGGTGTATACAGCTCAGTACCTGTTGTACAGTGTGTATACAAGCTCAGTACTGTGTTTAACAGGTGTATCACGTCGTACTGTGTAACAGTGTGTGTATACAGATCTAAGTACTGTGTATGTAACCGTTGGTGTATAGCAAGCTCCGTACTGTGTAACAGTGTGTATACAGCTCAGTACCTGTGTAACAGTGGGTATACAGCATCAGTAACTGTGTAACAGTGTTATACAAGCTCGTACCTGTGTGTAAACAGGGTTATACAGCCTCAGTACCTGTGTAACAGTGTGTATACAGCTAATTACCTGTGTGAAACGTGTGTGTAACAGCTCAGTACATGTGTAAACCGTGTGTATCCAGACTCAGTACCTGTGTAACCAGGTGTATACAGCTCAGTACCTGGGTAACAGTTGTGTATACAGTCAGTATCTGGTTAACAGGTGTGTGAATACAGCCTCAGTACCTGTGTAACATGGTATACAGACCTCAGTACTGGTAACAGTGTGTACAGGACTCAGTACCTGGTAACAGTGGGTATACAGCTCAGTACCGTGTAACAGTGTGTATACAGCTCATACCTGTGGACACAGTTTGTGGATACCAGCTCAGTACCTGTGCAAACAGTGTGTGGATACAGCTCGTACTGTGTACAGTGTGTATACCGCTCAGCTACCTGTTGTAATGTTGTAACACGTGTGTATTACAAGCTCAGACCTGTTTGTTGTAACAGGTGTTGTACACAGACTCGTACCTGTTTTTGTAAACAGGGTGTTACAGCCTCAGTACCGTGTAACAGTGTGGTATACAGCCCTCAGTAGTACCTGTGTAACAGTGGGATACAAGTCCTCAGTACCTGTGTAACAGTGGTTATACAGCTCAGTAAATGTGTAACCTGTGTATAAAGCTCAGTAACTTGTGAACAGTGTGTGTATAAAGCTCAGTACCTGTAAACAGTGTGTATACAGCTCAGTACCTGTGTAACAGGGTGTAACAGATCAGGAGACCTGTGTAACAGGTTGTGTATAAAGCTCAGGACCTGTTGTTGTACAGTGTGTTATACGATCAGTCCTGTTTGTAACAGTGCTGATACAGCTCAGTACCTGGTGTAACAGTGTGTATCAGAACTCAGTACATGGGTAACAGTGTGTTATACAGCTCAGACCTGTGTAAACAGGGTGTATACAGCGCCGTACCGTGCAACAGGTGTGGATAAAGCTCGAGTACGTTGTAAAGTGTGTATACAGCTCCATACCTGGTACCATGTGTATACAGCTCAGTACCTGTTGTAAACAGTGTGTAGTACAGTCAAGTACCTGGTAAACAGTTGTGTATACAGCCCAGACCTGTGTAACAGTGTGTATTCCAGTCAGTACCTGGTAACAGTGTGAGATACCCTCAGTACCTGTGTAACAGTGTGTATACAGTCTCAGTAACCTGTGTAACAGGTGTGTATACGCTCCAAGGTTTTTTTTTTTTTTTTTTTTTTTTCTTTTTTTTTTTTTTTTTTTTTTTTTTTTTTTTTTTTTTTTTTTTTTTTTACCTGTTGTAACAGTGTGTATTACAGCTCAGTAACTGTGTAACAGTGTGGATAAAGCCTTCAGTACCTGTGACTAACGTGTGTATACAGTCGTACCTGTGTAACAGGTGTATAAGCTCTAGTACCTGTGAACAGTGGTATAAGTCAGTCCTGTGGTAACAGTGTTGTATATGGAACAGCTCCCAGAGGGAGAGAGCAGGGTTTCTGTTAACGATGCAGTCCTTACAGTGCCTTCAGAAAGTATTCCAGAGTTAACCAACCTTTTAATCTCCTCCTCCATGTACACTGTCTTCAGAAAGTATTCATACCCCTTGACTTATTCCACATTTGTTACAGCCTGAATTCAAAATGGATTCAATGTATTTTTTCTCTCACTCATCTACACACAATACCCAGTAATGACAAAGTGAACACATGCTTTTAGACATTTTTGGAAATGTATTGAAAATGAAATACACAAATATCTCATTTACATAAGTATTCACACCCCTGAGTCAATACTTTGTACAGTAAAATCACCTTTGGCAGCGATTACAGATGTGTCTTTCTGGGTAAGTCTCTCAGAGCTTTGCACACCTGGATTGTACAATATTTGCACATTATTCTTTAAAAAATTCTTCAAGTTCTGTCAAGTTGGTTGTTGATCATTGCTAGACAGCCATTTTCAAGTCTTGCCATAGATTTTCAAGACGATTTAAGTAAAAACTAACTCGGGCACTAATGAACATTCAATGTCGTCTTAGTAAGCAACTCCAGTGTAGATTTGGCCTTGTGTTTTAGGTTATTGTCCTGCTGAAAGTTGAATTCATCTCCCAGTGTGTTGGAAAGCAGATTGAAGCAGAGTTTCCTCTATGCTTTTACCTGTGCTTAACTCTATTTCGTTTATTTTTATCCCCAAAAAACATACCCATAACATGATGCAGCCACCACCATGCTTGAAAATATTAAGAGTGGTACTCAGTAATGTGTTGTGTTGGATTTGCCCAAAACATAACACTTTGTATTCAGGACTTAAAGTTAATTTATTTTCCAATTGTTTTGCAGTTTTACTTTAGTGCCTTATTGCAAACAGGATGCATGTCTTGGAATATTTTTTATTGTGTACAGGCGTCCTTCTTTTCACTCTGTAATTTAGGTTAGTATTGTGGAGTAACTACAATGTTGTTGATCCATCCTCAGTTTTCTCCTATCACAGCCTGTAACTGTTTTAAAGTCACCATTGGCCTCATGGTGAAATCCCTGAGCGGTTTCCTTCCTCTCTGGCAACTGAGTTAAGAAGGACGCCTGTATCTTTGTAGTGTAATTAATAACTTCACCGTGCTCAAAGGGATATTCAATGTCTGTTTTGTTTTTCTACCCATCTACCAATAGGTGTCCTTCTTTGCAAGGCATTGGAAAACCTCCCTGATCTTTGTGGCTGAATCTGTGTTTGAAATTCACTGCTCGACTAGATAATTGTATGTGTGGGGTACAGAGATGAGGTAGTCATTCAAAATCATGTTAAACACTATTATTGCACACAGAGTGAGTCCATTCAATTTATTATGTGATTTCTTAAGCAAATGTTTACTCCTGAACTTATTAAGGCCATAATAAAGGGTTTGAATACTTAAGACATTTCAGCTTTTCATTTTTTATTCATTTGTACAAATTTCTAAAAACATAATTCCACTTTGACATTATGGGATATTGTCTGTAGGCCAGGGACCCAAAATCTCAATTTAATCTATTTTAAATTCAGGCTGTAACATAACAAAATGTGGAAAATGTAAAGGGGTGTGAACACTTTCTGAAGGCAATGTATTGATCCTAAAGAATATTCACCATAGTGCCCTCAAAGCTCATCACTAAGCTAAGGATCCTGGGACTAAACACCTCCCTCTGCAACTGGATCCTGGACTTCCTGACGGGCCGCCCCCAGGTGGTAAGGGTAGGTAACAACACATCTGCCACACTGATCCTCAACACGGGGGCCCCTCAGGGCTGCGTGCTCAGTCCCCTCCTGTACTCTCTGTTCACCCATGACTTCTACACCTGCATTACTAGCTGTTTGGGGTTTTAGGCTGGGTTTCTGTACAGCACTTCGAGATATTAGCTGATGTAAGAAGGGCTATATAAAATAAAATTGATTGATTGATTGACTGCATGGCCAGGCACGACTCCAACACCATCATTAAGTTTGCCGACGACACAACAGTGGTAGGCCTGATCACCGACAACGATGAGACAGCCTATAGGGAGGAGGTCAGAGATCTGGCCGTGTGGTGCCAGGACAACAACCTCTCCCTCAACGTGACCAAGACAAAGGAGATGATTGTGGACTACAGGAAAAAAAAGAGGACTGAGCACGCCCCCATTCTCATCGACGGGGCTGTAGTGGAACAGGTTGAGAGCTTCAAGTTCCTTGGTGTCCACATCACCAACGAACTATCATGGTCCAAACACACCAAGACAGTCGTGAAGAGGGCACGACCAAAGCCTATTCCCCCTCAGGAGACTAAAAGATTTGGCATGGGTCCTCAGATCCTCAAAAAATTATACAGCTGCACCATCGAGAGCATCCTGACTGGTTGCATCCACCGCCTGGTATGGCAACTGCTTGGCCTCTGACCGCAAGGCACTACAGAGGGGTAGTGCGTACGGCCCAGTACATCACAGGGGCAAAGCTCCCTGCCATCCAGGACCTCTATACCAGGCGGTGTCAGAGGAAGGCCCTCAAAATTGTCAAAGACTCCAGTCACCCTAGTCATAGACTGTTTCTCTCTGCTACCGCACGGCAAGCGGTACCGGAGTGCCAAGTCTAGGTCCAAAAGACTTCTCAACAGCTTCTACCCCCAAGCCATAAGACTCCTGAACAGCTAATCATGGCTACCCGGACTATTTGCACTGCCCCCCCACCCCATACTTTTTACGCTGCTGCTACTCTGTTAAGTATTTATGCATAGTCACTTTAACTCTACCCACATGTACATATTACCTCAACTACCTCAACTAGCCGGTGCCCCCGCACATTGACTATGCAACGGTACCCCCCTGTATATATAGCCTCCCTACTGTCACTTTATTCTATTGTATATATAGCCTCCCTACTGTCACTTTATTTTTACTTCTGCTCTTTTTTTCTCAACACTTTTTTGTTGTTGTTTTATTCTTTCTTTTTTGTTTAAAATAAATGCACTGTTGGTTAAGGGCTGTAAGTAAGCATTTCACTGTAATGTCTGCACCTGTTGTATTCGGCGCATGTGACCAATAAAATTTGATTTGATTTGATTTGAGTTATTCATTTGTGTTGCCTTTGTTTGTGTGAGAAGTAATGTTATGGTGCAGTGAAGTGTGTGATGTTATGGTGCAGTGAAGTGTGTGGTGTTATGGTGCAGTGAAGTGTGTGGTGTTATGGTGCAGGGAAGTGTGTGGTGTTATGGTGCAGTGAAGTGTGTGGTGTTATGGTGCAGTGAAGTGTGTGGTGTTATGGTGCAGTGAAGTGTGTGGTGTTATGGTGCAGTGAAGTGTGTGGTGTTATGGTGCAGTGAAGTGTGTGGTGTTATGGTGCAGTGAAGTGTGTGGTGTTATGGTGCAGTGAAGTGTGTGGTTTGTAATGGTTGCAGTGAAGTGTGTGGGTTATGGTGCAGTGAAGTGTTGGTGTTATGGTGCAGGGAAGTGTGTGGTGTTATGGTGCAGGTGAAGTGTGTGGTTATGGTGCAGTGAAGTGTGTGGTGTTATGGTGCAGTGAAGGTGTGGTGTTATGGTGCAGGGAAGTGTGTGGTGTTATGGTGCAGTGAAGTGTGTGGTGTTATGGTGCAGTGAAGTGTGTGGTGTTATGGTGCAGGGAAGTGTGTGGTGTTATGGTGCAGTGAAGTGTGTGGTGTTATGGTGCAGGGAAGTGTGTGGTGTTATGGTGCAGTGAAGTGTGTGGTGTTATGGTGCAGTGAAGTGTGTGGTGTTATGGTGCAGGGAAGTGTGTGGTGTATAATATCTAGCTGCACTGAGCAGCTCCAGCCCTACTCTAGGAGTCATGGAAACGCTGTCTGGATGTTTCTAAGGATATCATGTATGAAGTCATCAGAGTGGGACTAACCCTATATGTGTATATATATAATATTCACTGGAGTCCCTGTAATGACTCTTTCTAAAGTGAAGCCATACAGAATGACTTGTTTGTTAACACAACCCATCCAACTCTCAGACAAATCTTCAAATGGGTTTATTGACAACATACGTGAGGGAATGAATCATCCCTAGTGCTTTACTAATGGTAACAGTGATTTGGTATGGAATACTGAATAACCTGTATGACAGTTGAATCTAAACAGGATTTGATATGGAATACTGAATAACCTGTATAACAGTTGAATCTAAACAGGATTTGATATGGAATACTGAATAACCTGTATGACAGTTGAATCTAAACAGGATTTGATATGGAATACTGAATAACCTGTATGGTGGTCTCTTCCCTCTGACATTTTCTTAAAGAAAAAAAAAAGTAAATATATAATTTTATAAATGTTAATTTAGGAAAACTTTTAAAAACAAAAAGTAGAAAAAGAAAGCAGATATCTAGATTGTCAAATACATGAATGACCACTTAAAGTTTTGTGATATCTTTGGCATAATTGTTCAGTAAAAAAGTGCATAGAATTACTTTTTACATGATGAATATCTTTTAAAACACATGTATATCTATGATACAAATAATTATTCTGAACAACTGCAGGGTTGGAGGTGATTGGAGTTCTGGTATCTGTTTAAATGTATTCCTACTTTCTGATTGGTTGTGGAATGTACATGACCAAGTCCTTGCTGTGTGATTGGTTGGCCCAGTGGTAACTATCTGGTGATTGGCTGCGGGGCATAGAGGAAGATGGCGCTGAATGTTGATAGGATGTCTCTGGACTCTGTGGTGGCCAGCTGTCCTGCGGTCTGGACCAGAGCTACGTGGTCCCCTTTCCTCAGAGACAGGATCAGGCTGAACGAGACAGAGCCTCCACAGGGACAACTGTCCTGGGCCACTGTCCCTGCTCCAGACCCGGAGCTCATCAGCCTATGGACACTACGGTTGGAGACAGACAGAACAGCCTCCAGTCCCTCCCCCTGCCGAGACGTCAGAACTCCTGAGATCAGGTAACGCCCTTCCATCGGTATCGTGAAGATACCTGGAGAGAGGGAGGGAAAGATTATATTAGTCTGTGTGTGTGTCTCTCTGTGTGTGTGTGTGTGTGTCTGTGTGTGTCTCAGTCTGTGTGTCTCTCTGTGTGGGTGTGTCTCTGTGTGTGTGTCTCTGTGTGTGTGTGTGTCTGTGTGTGTGTGTGTGTTTCTCTGTGTGTGTCTCTGTGTGTGTGTCTCTGTGTGTGTGTCTCTGTGTGTGTGTGTGGACGTGTTTAACGATTCTTGTAGAAGTCCCCACAAGAATAGTAAACAAACAGAAATGTGTCCAACTGGGGACATTTTGTTAGTCCCCACAAGGTCAAATGCTATTTCTAGAGGGTTTAGGGTTAAGGTTAGAATTAGTGTTAGGGTTAGAATTACATTAAGGGTTAGCGTTAGGAGCTATCAATCAATCAATCAATTTTATTTTATATAGCCCTTCTTACATCAGCTAATATCTCGAAGTGCTGTACAGAAACCCAGCCTAAAACCCCAAACAGCTAGTAATGCAGGTGTAGAAGCACGGTGGCTAGGAAAAACTCCCTAGAAAGGCGAAAACCTAGGAAGAAACCTAGAGAGGAACCAGGCTATGAGGGGTGGCCAGTCCTCTTCTGGCTGTGCCGGGTGAAGATTATAACAGAACCATGCCAAGATGTTCAAAAATGTTCATAAGTGACAAGCATGGTCAAATAATAATCAGGAATAAATCTCAGTTGGCTTTTCATAGCCGATCATTAAGAGTTGAAAACAGCAGGTCTGGGACAGGTAGGGGTTCCATAACCGCAGGCAGAACAGTTGAAACTGGAATAGCAGCAAGGCCAGGCGGACTGGGGACAGCAAGGAGTCACCACGGCCGGTAGTCCCGACGTATGGTCCTAGGGCTCAGGTCTCTCAGTTGGCTTTTCATAGCCGATCATTAAGAGTTGAAAACAGCAGGTCTGGGACAGGTAGGGGTTTCGTAACCGCAGGCAGAACAGTTGAAACTGGAATAGCAGCAAGGCCAGGCGGACTGGGGACAGCAAGGTGTCATCATGCCCGGTAGTCCTGACGTATGGTCCTAGGGCTCAGGTTCTCAGAGAGAAAGAGAGAACGAGAGAATTAGAGAGAGCATACTTAAATTCACACAGGACACTGGATAAGACAGGAGAAGTACTCCAGGTATAACCAACTAACCCCAGCCCCCCGACACATAAACTACTGCAGCATAAATACTGGAGGCTGAGACAGGAGCGGTCCGGAGACACTGTGGCCCCATCCGAAGAAACCCCCGGACAGGGCCAAACAGGAAGGATATAACCCCACCCACTCTGCCAAAGCACAGCCCCCGCACCACTAGAGGGATATCCTCAACCACCAACTTACAATCCTGAGACAAGGCCGAGTATAGCCCACAGAGGTCTCCACCACAGCACAAACCAAGGGGGGGGGGGGGGCGCTAACCCAGACAGGAAGATCACGTCAGTAACTCAACCCACTCAAGTGACGCACCCCTCCCAGGGACGGCATGAAAGAGCACCCGGCAAGGCCAGTTGACTCAGCCCCTGCAACGGGGTGTTAGAGGGCCAGAGAACCCCAGTGGAGAGGGGACACCGGCCTGGGAAGAGACAGCAAGCGGCTGTTCGTTGCTCCAAGAGCCTTTCCGTTCCACTTCACACTCCTGGGCCAGACTACACTCAATCCTAATACCTACTGAAGAGGATACGTCTTCAGTAATAAGACTTAAAGGTTGAGACCGAGTCTGCGTCTCTCACATGGGTAGGCAGACTGTTCCATAAAATGGCGATCTATAGGGAGAAAGCCCTGCCTCCCGCTGTTTGCTTAGAATTCTAGGGACAATTAGGAGGGCCTGCGTCTTGTGACCGTAGCGTACGTATTGGTATGTACGGCAGGACCAACTCGGAAAGATAGGTAGGGCAAGCCCATGAACGCTTTATAGGTTAACAGTAAAACCTTGAAATCAGCCCTTGCCTTAACAGGAAGCCAGTGTAGGGAAGCTAGCACTGGAGTAATATGATCAAATTTCTTGGTTCTTAACCCTAAACCTAGGGTTAGGTTAGGGTTAAGTTTTGGGTTAGGGTTAGGGTTAAGTTTTTGGGTTAAGGTTAGGGTTAGGGTTAGGGTTAGGGTTTAGGGAAAATAGAATTTTGAATGGGACTGAATTGTGTGTCCCCACAAGGTTAGCTGTACAATACTGTGTGTGTGTGTGTGTCTCTGTGTGTGTCTCTCTCTGTGTGTGTGTGTGTGTGTCTCTGTGTGTGTGTGTATCTCTGTGTGTGTGTGTGTGTGTGTGTGTGTGTGTGTGTGTGTGTGTGTGTGTGTGTGTGTGTGTGTGTGTGTGTGTGGTCTATGTTACCTGTGTGAGGGTTGTAGTGCCCTCCATCGTTGACCAGCACCTTGTTGAAGCGGATGGTTCCAAACTCTCCAGAGAACTGAGTGGTCAGACCAGCAGAGAAGGAGAAGGGGTCTGCCAGGAAACTACTGTCTGAAGACACTGCGACACAAAGACAGACAGGTGGTATTAAATCAAAGTGCTTATGGAGAGTTAAATGTACACAGTTTAAAAACTATACAGTTTAATGCAATTAGTGACACATTGCTGTTCTGCGTAGTTGCGTAGCCCCTCAATTTGTAATTTGACGCAAGAGGGTCTAATGGCGCCAGAGGGAATGGTGGCTGTTTTATGGTTATGGTTTTAGTTAGTTAGTTTGGTTAGGGTTAGGGTTAAGGCTTAAATTGTGCTACTTACTCTATTTTTTTCAGCTGATATAGTAATATAATCATGTTTCCACCATCATTTCCTAACCCTAACCCGGGTTAGCCTAATGACCTATGACCTAAAAGAGCTTCTGGACATCAGAGCAGCTATCACTAACCTCCATCTGGACGAGGACTTATACTTCAATGAGTCGGAGGCAAAAGACATATTGATTACCGCGGACCAAGCCGAAATCCCTGACACTCGAAGAAGGAGGAGACAGCGCTATAGATGCCGGTGTGCGGGTTAGGGTTAGGGTTAGGGTTAGGCTATAGATGCCGGCATGTGGGATACCTGACGAGACTACATCGGAGAGTGGATAAACCGCCTCTACCCTCTGTTCTATTGGGGAACGTGCAATCACTGGAGAATAAACTGGATGACCTCCGTTCAAGATTATCCTATCAACATGATCTGAAGTACTAACAGTGCATTCGGAAATGATTCAGACCCCTTGACTTTTTCCACATTTTGTTACGTTACAGCCTTATTCTAAAATTGATTACATTGTTTTTTTCTCTCCCTCATCATTCTACACACAATACACCATAATGACAAAGCAAAAACAGGTTTGTAGATATTTTTGAAAATGTATTACAAATAAAACACTGAAATATCACATTTACATAAGTATTCAGACCCTTTACTCAGTACTTTGTTGAAGCCCCTTTGGCAGTGGATTACAGCCTCCAGTCTTCTTGGGTATGACGCTACAAGCTTGGCACACCTGTATTTGGGGAGTTTCTCCCATTCTTCTCTGCAGATCCTCTCAAGCTCTGTCAGGGTGGATGGGGAGCATCGCTGCACAGCTATTTTCAGGTCTCCCCAGAGATGTTTGATCGGGTTCAAGTCCGGGCTCTGGCTGGGCCACTCAAGGACATTCAGAGACTTGTCCCGAAGCCACTCCTGTGTTGTCTTGGCTGTGTGCTTAGGGTCGTTGTCCTGTTGGAAGGTGAACCTTCGCCCCAGTCTGAGGTCCTGAAAACTCTGGAGCAGGTTTTCATCAAAGATCTCTCTGTACTTTGCTCTGTTCATCTTTCCCTCGATCCTGATTAGTCTCCCAGTCCCTGCCGCTGAAAAACATCCCCACAGCATGATGCTGCCACCACCATGCTTCACCGTAGGGATGGTGCCAGGTTTCCTACAGACGTGACGCTTGGCATTCAGGACAAAGAGTTCAATCTTGGTTTCACCAGACCAGATAATCTTGTTTCTCATGGTCTGAGAGTCCTTTAGGTGCCTTTTGGCAAATTCCAAGCGGGCTGTCATGGTCCTTTAACTGAGGAGTGGCTTCCGTCTGGCCACTCTACCATAAAGGCCTGATTGGTGGAGTGCTGCTGAGATGGTTGTCCTTCTGGAAGGTTCTCCCATCTCCACAGAGGAACTCTGGAGCTCTGTCAAAGTGAGAATCGGGTTCTTGGTCACCTCCCTGACCAAGGCCCTTCTCCCTCGATTGCTCAGTTTGGCCGGGTGGCCAGCTCTAGGAAGAGTCTTGGTGGTTCCTAACTTCTTCCATTTAAGAATGATGGAGGCCACTGTGTTCTTGGGGACCTTCAATGCTGCAGACATTTTTTGGTACCCTTCCCCAGATCTGTGCCTCGACACAATCCTGTCTCGGAGCTCTACGGACAATTCCTTCGACCTCATGTCTTGGTTTTTGCTCTGACATGCACTGTCAACTGTGGGACCTTATATAAACAGGTGTGTGCCTTGCCAAATCATGTCCAATCAATTGAATTTCGCACAGGTGGACTCCAATCAATTTTTAGAAACATCTCAAGGTTGGTCAATGGAAACAGGATGCACTTGAGCTCAATTTCGAGTCTCATAGCAAAGGGTCTGAATACTTATGTAATTAAGGTATATCTGTTTTTGCCTTGTCATTATGGAGTATTGTGTGTAGATTGATGAGTAAAAAAATAATTCAATAAATTTTCGAAAAAGTCAAGGGGTCTGAACACTTTCAGAATGCACTGTAAATCTAGCTGTTTTTTCTACACATCGGCAGGACAGAACGGCAGCATCAGGGAAGCTCAGCGGAGGGGGTGTGTGTCTCTTTGTTAACAGCAAATGGTACACGATCTCTAATATTAAGGAAGTTCTGCTTGCCTGAGTTAGAATACCTCATGATAAACTGCAGACCACACTATTTACCAAGAGAGTTCATCTATGGTAAGATACAGGACTGTTTCGCTAGCACACACTGGAATATTTTCCGGGACTCATCCAATGGCATTGGGGAGTTTACCACATCAGTCACCGGCTTCATCAATAAGTACATTGACGATGTTGTCCCCACTGTGACTGTACGTACATATCCCAATCAGAAGCCATGGATTACTGGCAACATCCGCACTGAGCTAAAGGCTAGAGCTGCCGCTTTCAAGGAGCGGGGCACTTATAAGAAATCCCGCTTGCCCTCAGACTAACCATCAAACAGACAAAGCATAAATAAAGGACCAAGATTGAATCCTACTACACCGGCTCTGACGCTCGTTGGATGTGGCAGGGCTTACAAACTATCACAGCTTACAAAGGGAAACCCAGCCACGAGCTGTCCAGTGATGCGAGTCTAACAGATGAGCTAAATACCTTCTATGCGTGCTTCGTTGCTACCAACACTGAACTATGCACGAGAGCACCAGCTGTTCCAGATGACTGTGTGAACACCAGTGGTGGAAAAGTACCCAATATTCATACTTGAGTAAAAGTAAACATACCTAAATAGAAAATGACTCAAGTAAAAGTGAAAGTCACACAGTAAAATACTACTTGAGTAAAAGTCTAAAAGTATTCGGTTTTAAATATACTTAAGTATCAAAAGTAAATGTAATTGCTCAAATATACTTAACTATCAAAAGTAAAAGTAAAAGTATAAATCATTTCAAATTCCTTATATTAAGCAAACCAGACAGCACGATTTTATTGTTTTTTAAATTTATTTATGGATAGCCAGGGGCACACTCCAACACTCAGACATCATTTACAAATGAAGCATTTGTGTTTAGTGAGTACGCCAGATCAGAGGCAGTAGGGATGACCAGGGATGTTCTCTTGATAAGTGAGTGAATTGTACCATTTTCCTATCCTGCTAATCATTCAAAATATAAAAAGTACTTTTGGGTGTCAGGGAAAATGTATGGAGTAAAAAATACATTATTTTCTTGTTGTCAAAATATAAATAGTAAAGTAATGTACAGATACCCCCAAAAACTACTTAAGTTGTAAATATTTATTTAAGTATTTAACACCACGCAATCTGTAGCTGATGTGAGTAAGACCTTTAAACAGGTTAACTTTAACAAGGCCGCAGGACCAGACGGATTACCAGGACACGTACTCAGAGCATGCGCTGACCAGCTGGTAAGCGTCTTTACTGACATTTTCAACCTATCCCTGACCCAGTCTGTAATACCTACATGTTTCAAGCAGACCACCATAGACCCTGTGACCAAGAACACCAAGATAACCTGCCTAAATGACTATCACCCTGTAGCACTCACATCTGTAGCCATGAAATGCTTTGAAAGGCTGGTTATGGCTCACATCAACACCATCATCGCAGACACCCTGGACCCACTCCAATTCGCATACCGCCCCAACGGAGCCACAGATGACACAATCTCAGTTGCACTCCACACTGCCCTCTCCCACCTGGACAAGAGGAATACGGGAGAATGCTGTTCATTGACTACAGCTCAGCGTTCAACACCATAGTGCCCTCAAACCTCATTACTAAGCTAAGGACCATGGAACTAAACACCTCCCTCTGCAACTGGGTACTGTCACCATTCCTGCTGACCAACCATGGAAGCACGTCACCCGCCTTAGGGCAAATGGAGGGAAGCAGCCTGTGGCGAGTGGGGTTTCTTTAGCGTTGGGAAGCCCGACCCAAATCCAGTTGTCGAACAGCTTCGCCCTCCTGGCTTCGGAGGTTCAACTGCCATCGTCACCTATACAGACTCTTTCCCAGGGGGATTCTGCCTTGGATTCTGTCTTGGACTCGGATCCTCCATGTTCCCGGGGGACTCTGCCTTAGACTCGGATCTGCTGCCCTCCTCCTCTTAACGGACCTCGAGGATGTCTGATGCACCGGATCCTTGGTCAGCCATGTGGGGTCAAACAACATTAGAAGGGCTAGCTCGGAGGTGCTGAAACTGGATTTTAAAGATTCTAGCTCTGAAAGACCCCTAAAAGCAGCCGATTATTTCAGGCCCTGTGCCATCGCTGGGCCCCGGCAGCGAAAGGTTCAGCAGGCTACTGGCATTACACATCTAGCTAAAAGATTACTGTAGTTCTGTTTGCATAACTTTTATAGATACATTTGACACCTTTTGGAAACAGAAGATGCTCTACAGGAATGACGGTGTCCATCCAAATCATCTCGGTGCCTGGACCCTGTTCTCGCATTTCAAGGCTGCATTGAGACAATGACTTATCAGTGACCCAAGCCCTGCTCAGATAATCCCTACCATTGTGTCGCTGAACTGTCATAGTGCTGCAGCAAATTCCCAGGGGTGTTGGCAGTCATAATGTAAATAACCTAATTTCTGTTCCTCTAAATGCCTCTTCCAAACGGACAGCTATTGTCAGCAGTAATCATGCGCCTATGACCCTGAGTTATACTGTTAGCACTGAGACATTTTGCCCTAGTAGGAAGCCCACTGTGAGCAGTTCACCCTGCACTATCAGCTCAAATATAAATATCGCTGTCATGTATACCTCTGATAAGCCTCCCAGTAAAGCAATAAAAACAATCAAGGATCCCAGAAATGTGCTAAAAATAGCCCACATTAACATATGTAGCCTAAGAGGTTAATGAAATCGATTACCTGCTAGCAACAGAAACCATTTATATACTGACTATCTCTGAAGCTCACTTAGATAATTCCTTTGATGATACAGGGGTACCAATACAAGGTTATAACATCTACAGAAAAGCCAGGAATGCCAATGGAGGAGGTATTGCTGTTTATATTCAGTCATATTCCTGTAAAGCGTAGAGAGGATCTCATGTTAAATGCTGTTGAAGTAATATGGCTACAGTTATTTTGTTTTTGGGTTTTTGGGGGGGGGAAAAAAAAAAAAGGGGGGGGGGTCGGGGAGGGGTTTTTTTTTAAAAACGGATTTTTAAAAAATTTCTAAACCCCTAAAAACCCCCCAAAAAACCCGTTTTTTTTTTTTTTTTTTTTTTTTTTTTTTTTTTATTTCGGGTTTGGGGGGCCCCAAACTTTTTAGAAAAAACAATTTTTTTGGGGGGAAAAACCCCTTTTGAAACAAAGAGTCTAAAGAATGAAAGGGTGTTAATACTGGCTCCCCTTTTCCTTTTCCCGTTTTCTTTGGGGGCAGCACAGTCCCCAACCCGTCAGAAAACCCCAAAATTTGGGGTGTGTAAATATATGGAATTTTCCCAAAGGGGTTTTTTAAATTTAAAAAACCTTTTCTTTCCTTAAAAAGCTTCCAAAGGGGACAGTTTTGGTGAAATTCAGGTTAACCCTAATAGTTCAGAGCACCCAAGGGAACCCACTGTATTTTAGCACCCCCCTTATAATGTTTATTTCCCCTTAAATCAGTAAACAAAAAACCATGGGTGTGGCCAAAAATAGCCCAAATTAACAAGTTCCAAGGTTTAAATGTTATTTAAACAGAAAAATTTTATATTATTTGAAGTTTTAAAAAATTTTTTTTAAAAGGGGAAAATAAAGGTTTATCCTACGGCCCCAAATGAAAGGGGGGTTATTGCTTTTTATTCAGTTACCTTAATTTGGGGGTTTGTTTAAATGGGATTATTTTTGTTTTTCAAAAAGCCACGGGGGACAAACCCCCCGGCTGGTAAAGGAAAATTTTTAATGTTAAAAAGGGGGAGGTATATTTTTAAAATTTAAATTTTTTACAACCCCAAAAAAAAACTAAAACGAAATTGGATGGTTGGGATAGTAAACCCCCGGGCAAAAGAAGGAAAACACCAAGTTGCCAACATAAGGGGAAAAGAAAAGTATAAATCCTTGGGTTTTTTGGGTACTTTGCCAACTGGAAAAAAAAGCCAAAGGGGTCCAAATTTAATTTAAGGAAAAAGGGTTTTGAATTTGGGGAAGAAAAAAATATTTGTTTTTTGATTGAAAGGGAAATATTGGTGCATTGAACTTTAGGGGTTTTAATTTTTTCAATTTTTTGGGTTTGTTTTATTTTGGTTTTTAAAAGAAATGAAAAATAGGGTGTAAAGTTTTAAAAAAGAAATAGGGGTTTTAAAAGATATTTGTAAATGATGAATGGAAGTTTGGGGTTGGTAAAATTAAAAAAAAATTTTAAAAAGTGGGAAAAAATTTTTTTTATGTTTTTATTTTTTTATAAAAAGTTTTTTAAATTTTTAAAAGGTATTTATTTGACTAAAAAGAATTATTTTTAATTTTTAAAATAAATTTGTTTGTTTGTGTTTTGGGGGTGTTTGTGTTGTTTGTGCTTGTTTTTCTTTTTTGCGTGTGGTGTTTGTGTTTTTTTTGTCTTTTGGTGTGGTGTTTTTTTGTTTGTGTTGTGTGGTTTTTTTGGGGGGTTGTAGGGTGCCCCTTGTTTTTTGGGGTTTGTGGGGTTTTTGTTTTGTTTGTGTTTTTGTGTTGGTGTTTGTTTTGTTTTTGGGGTTTTTTGTGTGGTGTTTGTGTTTTTTTTTGGTGGTGTTGTGTGTTTGTGTTGTTTGTCGTTGTTTTTGTGGGTGTTTGTTTTTTGTGTTGTTGGTGTTTGTTTTTTTGTTTTTTGGGGGTTTTTCCCTTTTGTTTGTTTTGTTTGTGTGGGGGGGGGTGTTTGTTTGTCTTGTGTTTTTGGGTGCGTCGTGGTGTTTTTTGTTTGTTTGTCGTTGTGGGTGTTTGTTTTTTTTTTTTGTGTGGTTTGGTGTTTGTTTGTTTGTGTTGTTGGGGGTGTTTGTTTTTTGTGTGTGTGGTTGTTTGGTTTCTTGTTTGTGGGGTTTTGTTGTTTTGTCCCTTGTGTGGGTTTTTTGTGTTTTTGTTTGTGTCTTTTTGTGGTGGTGTGGTTTTTGTGTTGTCTTTGTTTGGGGTGTTTGTTTGTTTGTTTTTGTTTGTCCTTTTGTTTGTTTTTGTTTTTTTTTTTTGTCGGGTTTTGTTGTCCTCCTTTTTGTTTTGTTTTTCTTTGTTGTTTTGTTCCTGTTTGTTTTTTTTTTTGTGTTTTGTTTTGGTTTTTGTTTTGTTTTTTTTTTTTTTTTTTGTTTTGTTTTTTTTTTTTATTGCCATTTTTTGTTTTTTTATTTTTTGTTTTTGTTTTATTTGTTTTGTTTGTTTGTTTTGTTGGTGGTGTGGGTTTGTGTTTGTTGTTTGGGGTGGTGTTTGTTTGTTTGTGTTTTGGGGTTTTTTTGTTTGTGTTGTTTTGGTGGTGTGGGTTTTGTTTGTTGTTTTTGTGGTGTTTTGTTTGTTTGGGCGTTGTGTGGTGTTTGTGTTGTCTTGGGTTGTTTTTTTGGGTGTTTTTGTGTTTTTTTGTTTTGTGTGGTGTTCCCTGTGTTGTTTTTTCGTTTTGTGGTGTTTTTTTTTTCTTTGTTGTTTGTTTTTTTTGTTGTTTGTTTTGGGGGGTGTTCTGTGTTTTGTTTGGGGGGTTTGTGGTTTGTTTTGTTTGTTATTTTTTTTGGTTGTGGGGTTTTTGTTTTGTTTGTGTTTAGTGGTGTTTGTTTGTTTGTTTTTTGGGGTGTTTTGTGTTTTGTTTTGTTGTCGTGGGGGGGGGGGGGGGGAGGGGGGGGGGGGTTTGGTTTTGTTTTGGTTTGTTTTGGTGTTTGTCTTGTTTTGTTTTGTGGTTGTTTTTGTTTTGTTGTGTTTGTGTGGGGTGTTGTTTGGTGTTGTCTTTGTTTTGTGGTGTTTGTTTTTTTGTTTTTGTGTGGTGCCCCTTTTTTGTTTTTGTGTTTGTTTTGTGGTGTGGTGTTTGTTTTTGTGTTGTTGGTGCCCTTTGTTTCTTGTGCTTGTGGGGTGTTCCTTGTTTGTTTGGTGCTTTGTTTGTGTTATTTTGTTTGTGTTGTGGTGGTTTTTGTTTGTGTTGTTTGGTGTTTGTGTTGGGGGGTTCCCCCTGTTTTTTTTTGTCGTTTTGTGGTTTTCCCCCTTGTTTGTTTGTGTTGTTTGGTGTTTCTGTTTTTTGTTTGTGTTGTGGGGTGTTTGTTTGTTTTTTGTTTGGGGTTTGGTGTTTTGTGTTGTTTTGTGTTGTGGGGTGTGGGGTTTTTGTTGTTTGTGTTGTTGGTGTTTGTTTTTTTGTTGTGTGGTGTCTTTTTGTTGTCTTGTTTTTGTGTGGTCGTTGGTCCCCTTGTTTGTTTGGGGTTGTGTGTTGTTTGTGTTGTCTGTTTTTGTTGTGGGGGGTTTGTTTGTCTTTTTGTTGTGTGGTGCGTTTTTGTTTTGGTTGTTTGTGCTTGTGGGTGGTGTATTGTTTGTTTGCCCCTTGTCGTGGTGTTTGTTTTGTTGTCGTTGTGTGGTGGTGGGTGGGGTTTTGTGTTGTTTTTTTGTCTGTCGGGTTTTGTGTTTTTGTGTTTTTGGGTTCCTGTTTGTTGTCCTTGTGGGGTCTCTGGGTCTTGTGTTGTTTGTGTTTGGGGTGTTTGTTTGTCTTGTGTTGTGTGGTGTTTGTGTTGTTTTTGTTGTTTTGGGTGGTGTGGTGTTTGTGTTGTTTTGTGTTTTGGGGTTTGTTTGTTTTGTTTGTGTTGTGGGGTGTTCGTTTTGTTTGTGTTTGTGGGTTTTTTTTGTTTGTTTGTGTGGTGTTTTTGTGTGTTTGTCCTTGTGGGGTTTTGGTTGTTTGTGTTTGTGTGTTTGTGTTGTTTGTGTTTGGGGTGTTTTGTGTTGTTTGTTTTGTGGGGTTATTGGTTTTTGTTTGTGTGGTGTTTGTGTTGTTTGTGTCGTGGTTTTTTTTGTTTGTGGTGTGGGTCCCTTGTTTTGTTTTGTTTTTTGGGGTTTTTATTGGGTTTGTTTTGTGTTGTGTGGCCCGGTTGGTTTTGGGTTTTTTGTTTTGTGTGGTGTTTGTTTGTTTTGTTGTTTGGGTGTTTTTTTGTTTGTGTTGTGTGGGTCTCCTGTTTTGGTTTTCGTTGTTGGTGTTTGTTTTGGTTTTGTCGCCTGTGGGGTGTTTGTTTTTGTTTGTGTTGTTGGTGTTTTTTTTGTTTTGTCTGTTGGTTTTTGTGTTGTTTTGTTTCGGGGTGTCCTTTTTGTTTGTGTTGTGGGTGTTTTGTGGTCTTTGTTTTGTGGTGTTTGTGTTTTGTTTGTGTTTTGTTTGGTTTTTGTGTTGTTTGTCCTTGTGTGGTGTTTGTTTGTTTTGTTTGTTGGTGTTTGTTTTGTTTTGTGTTGTGTGGTGGTTGGTTTTGTTGTTTGGGCCCTTTGGGGGTTTGTCTTGTTTGTTTCTGTGTGTTTTTCCCCTGTTTTGTTTGGTTGTTGGGCGGGGGTGCCCCCCTGTGTTGTTTTTGTTGTTGTGTTTTGTTGTTTGTGCTTGTCTGGTGCCCCCTTTTTGTTTGTGTTGTTGGTGGTGGTGGTGTTTGTTTTGTTTGTGTTGTGGTGGTGTTTTGTTTGTTTTTGTTTGGTTTTTGTTTGTTTGTGTTGGTGGTGGTGTGGTGTTTGTTTTGTTGTCGTTGTGTGGTGTCCCTTGTTTTGTTTGTGCTTTTGGGTTTTGTTTGTTTGTGTTGTGTGGTGCGTTGGGTTTGTGTTGTTTGTGTTGTGGGGGTGTTTTTTGTTTGTGTTTGTGGTGTCCTTGTGTTGTTGTGTTGTTTGGTGGTGGGGGTGGTTTGTTTGTGTTTTGTTTTGTTTGGTTGTTTTTGTTTGGGGTGTTTGTGTTGTCTTGTGTCTGGTGGTGTTGTTTGTCCCCCTTGTTTGTTTTTTTTTTGTGTTGGCCCTGAAGTAGTGCTGGGGAAAAAAATAAAATGAAAAAATGTGTACAGTGCATTCGGAAAGAGTTGACTTAACATTTCCACATTTTGATACGTTACAGCCTCATTCTAAAATTGTTTACATTTTCATCAGATCAAATCTACACATAATACGCCATAATGACAAAGTAAAAACAGGTTTTTAGAAATGTATGCTAATAAAAAAATACATTAACAATGAAATATCACATTTACATAAGTATTCAGACCTTTTACTCAGTACTTTGTTGAAGCACCTTTGGCAGTGATTACAGCCTCAGGTCTTCTTGGGTATGACGCTACAAGCTTGACACACCTGTATTTGGGGAGTTTCTCCCATTCTTCTCTGCAGATCCTCTCAAGCTCTGTCAGGTTGGATGGGGAGTGTCGCTGCACAGCTATTTTCAGATCTCTCCAGAGATGTTCGATAGGTTTCAAGTCTGGGCTCTGGCTGTGCCACTCAAGGACATTCAGAGACTTGTCCCGAAGCCACTCCTGCGTTGTCTTGGTTGTGTGCTTAGGGTTGTTGTCCTGTTGGAAAGTGAACCTTCACCCCAGTCTGAGGTCCTGAGCGCTCTATAGCAGGTCTTCATCAAAGATCTCTCTGTACTTTGCTCCATGAATCTTTCCCTCGATCCTGACTAGTCTCCCAGTCCCTGCCACTGAAAAACATCCCCACAGCATGATGCTGTCACCACCATGCTTCAACGTAGGCATGGTGCCAGGTTTCCTCCAGACGTGACGCTCGGCATTCAGGCATTGTCCTTCTGGAAGGTTCTCCCATCTCCACAGAGGAACTCTGGAGCTCTGTCAGATTGACCATCAGGTTCTTGGTCACCTCCCTGACCAAAGCCCTTCTCCCCCGATTGCTCAGTTTGGCCGGGTGGCCAGCTCTAGGAAGCGTCTTGGTGGTTCCAAACTTCTTACATTTAAGAATGATGGAGGCCACTGTGTTCTTGGGGACATTCAATGCTGAACAAATGTTTTGGTACCCTTCCCCAGATCTGTGCCTCAACGCAATCCTGTCTTGGAGCTCTACAGACAATTCCTTCGACCTCCTGGCTTGGTTTTTGCTCTGACATCAGCTGTTCCGGACGACTATGTGATCACGCTCTCCGTAGCCGATGTGAGTAAGACTTTTAAGGTCAACATTCACAAGGCCGCAGGGCCAGACGGATTACCAGGATGTATAATCCGAGCATGCGCTGACCAACTGGCAAGTGTCTTCACTGACATTTTCAACATGTCCCTGACTGAGTCTGTAATACCAACATGTTTCAAGCAGACCACCATAGTCCCTGTGCCCAAGAACACTAAGATAACCTGCCTAAATGACTACCGACCCGTAGCACTCATATCTGTAGCCATGAAGTGCTTTGAAAGGCTGGTCATGGCTCACATCAACACCATTATCCCAGAAACCTTAGACCCACTCCAATTTGCATAACGCCCCAACAGATCCACAGATGATGCAATCTCTATTGCACTCCACACTGCCCTTTCCCACCTGGACAAGAGGAACACCTACGTGAGAATGATGTTCATTGACTACAGCTCAGTGTTCAACACCATAGTGCCCTCAAAGCTCATCACTAAGCTAAGGACCCAGGGACTAAACACCTCCCTCTGCAACTGGATCCTGGACTTCCTGACGGGCCGCCCCCAGGTGGTAAGGGTAGGGAACAACACATCTGCCACGCTTATCCTCAACACGAGGGCCCCTCAACTGGATCCCTGTTCACCCACGACTGAGTGGCCAAGCACGACTCCAACACTTTCATTAAGTTTGCCGACGACACAACGGTGGTAGGCCTGATCACCGTCAACGATGAGACAGCCAATAGGGAGGAGATCAGAGACCTGGCCGTGTCGTGCCAGGATAACAACCTCTCCCTCAACGTGTTCAAGACAAAGGAGATGATTGTGGACTACTATTGTGGAGTCATTAAAACCAATTTTTCAACCACTCCACAAATTTCTTGTTAACAAACTATAGTTTTGGCACGACAGTTAGGACATCTACTTTGTGCATGACAGAAGTAATTTTTCCAACAATTGTTTACAGACAGATTATTTCATTTATAATTCACTGTATCACAATTCCAGTGGGTCAGAAGTTTATATACACTAAGTTGACTGTGCCTTTAAACAGCTTGGAAAATTCCAGAAAATGATGTCATGGCTTTAGAAGCTTCTGATAGGCTAATTTACATCATTTGAGTCAATTGGAGGTGTACCTGTGGATGTATTTCAAGGCCTACCTTCAAACTCAGTGCCTCTTTGCTTGACATCATGGGAAAATCAAAAGAATTCAGCCAAGACCTCAGAAAAAAGATTGTAGACCTCCACAAGTCTGGTTCATCCTTGCGAGCAATTTCCAAACGCCTGAAGGTACCACGTTCATCTGTACAAACAATAGTACGAAAGTATAAACACCAAGGGACCACGCAGCCATCATACCGCTCAGGAAGGAGACACGTTCTGTCTCCTAGAGATGAACGTACTTTGGTGCGAACCAATCCCAGAACAACAGCAAAGGACCTTGTGAAGATGCTGGAGGAAACAGGTACAAAAGTATCTATATTCACATTAAAACAAGTCCTATATTGACATAACATGAAAGGCCGCTCATCAAGGAAGAAGCCACTGCTCCAAAACCGCTATAAAAAAGCCAGACTACGGTTTGCAACTGCACATGGAGACATAGATCGTACTTTTTGGGGAAATGTCCTCTGATCTGATTAAACAAAAATAGAACTGTTTGGCCATAAAGACCATTGTTGGTTTGGAGGAAAATGGGGAAAGCTTGCAAGCCGAAGAACACCATCCCAATCGTGAAGAACGGGGGTGGCAGCATCATGGTATGGGGGTGCTTTGCTGCAGGAGGGACTGGTGCACTTCACAAAATAGATGGCATCATGAGGAAGGAAAATTATGTGGATATATTGAAGCAACATCTCAAGACATCAGTCAGGAAGTTAAAACTTGGTCGCAAATGGATCATGACCCCAAGCACACTTCCAAAGTTGTGGCAAAATGGCTTAAGTACAACAAGTCAAGGTATTGGAGTGGCCATCATAAAGCCCTGACCTCAATCCAATAGAAAATTTGTGGGCAGAACTGAAAAAGCGTGTGTGAGCAAGGGCCTACAAACCTGACTCAGTTACACCATCTCTGTCAGGAGGAATGGGCCAATATTCACCCAACTTATTGTTGGAAGCTTGTGGAAGGCTACCCGAAATGTTTGACCCAGGTTAAACAATTTAAAGGCAATGCTACCAAATACTAATTGAGTGTATGTAAACTTCTGACCCACTGGGAATGTGATGGATGAAATAAAATCTTAAATAAATAATTCTCTCTACTATTATTCTGACATTTCACATTCTTAAAATAAAGTGGTGATCCTAACTGACCTAAGACAGGGAATTTGTACTAGGATTAAATGTCAGGAATTGTGAAAAACTGAGTTTAAATGTATTTGGCTAAGGTGTATGTAAACTTCTGACTTCAACTGTAAGTAAGCATTTCACTGTAATGTCTACCCCTATTGTATTCGGCGCATGTGGCAAATAAAATGTGATTTGATCTGATTAGAGTTGTGTTACCTGGTGTAACTAGTGGGGTCTGTGACGCTGGGTTCCAGGGGACCTTGGCAGCTACTGGGATCGTCTCACATTTGTTGAAGGAGACTGGCTTCCCTGGAGGGTTGTGTCCTGGTGGTTTAGAAAGCATTCACTGGGTTATAATCTCTCATAGCATTTAAAACATTCAGAAGGTTGTGTCCTGGTGGTTTAGAAAGCATTCACTGGGTTATAATCTCTCATAGCATTTAAAACATTTGGGCAACATTTGGATAACATTGTGGTAGTAACTCTGTCCACATCCCCACCACTACTGACCTGGTGCTCCAGCGAATCCTTTAATAGGTGTGGAGGATGAGTCCTCTGATCCTCTCCTGACTGTCACCCTCCTCATGTAGCCTGGTGGACCAGCCTCTCCCACCTCCAGGACCCGACGCGGCTGACTGGAGGGCTGGCGAGGTACCATTGTTAAGAAGGGTTGGTTAGGGTTGGATGGTTGGTTAGGTTGGTTAGGATTGGGTACTAGGGTTAAGATGGGTTGGTTATGATTGCCTGGTTGGTTAGGATGGGGTACGAGAATGACAGTGGGCTGGCCTGGCTGGTTAGGATGGTTGGGCTGATGTGGCACCAGGTACAGAGTTGGTTGTTTAGGTTGGCGGTGGGTGTTGGGCTGTAGAGGGTTGGTAGGCTGGCGTGGACTGGCTGGCTGTCTGGGGTTGTAGGGTTGCCTGGGGGTCTGGAGGGGCGAGTCAGGGGGGGTCCTGTGGGGGATGTAGATCTGGTTAACCGCTGGGTCTGGTCTGGTCTGGTACAGAAACCAGGTCCTCACTGGTGTTCATACTGAGAGAGAGAGAGAGAGAGAGAGAGAGAGAGAGGAGAGAGAGAGAGAGAGAGAGAGAGAGAGAAGAGAGAGAGAAGACGAAGAGAGGGAGAAGGACCGAAGAGAAGGAAAAGGGGGAAAATAAAGAGTATAGAAGAAAAGGGGGAGAGAGAGATGAGGAAGAAGAGAGAGCCATCTTAGCCGGGGAAAAAGAGGGTTGGGAGGCCCAAAATGGTGGCTTTTGAAGGAACGGTTTAGGTTAGGAGAGAGCAAGGACAAACAATTTGAAAAAACATAGGACCAAAGTATTTCTGCCTTCATAATTTAAAAAAAAGCAGAGGATGTAGGTAAAGAGAGTAAAAAGGCAATTAAGGACTAAAAACAACCCTTATAAACCCTAGAAATGAAACAGAAAGCAATTGATTTAAACCCGTAGCAACTGAGCCCAAAAAAGACAGGCAGGAAACAAATGAGTGGAACTGAGGACTCATTGAATATGCCAAAGGAACAACAATAAAGAAAAAGAAGAAACAACCCTTTTATCCCCATCTATTGAAAAACGCCACAATATTTCGGCCCCAAAAAAGGAACCTGGAAAAAACAAAATTGGAAACCCCCTATATTTAAAAAATTTCCATTTTACTTAAAATATTTTTCCGATAAACCTGTATTAGAAACCGCCTTGAAACCTTTATCTTTGAAACCTGATTGAATCCCCATATTATTTTTTCACTTTTTACTTCCTCTCCTTTTGCATTTAAAACACTTTCCCTCCAATAAACCTTAAAGAATTGAAAAAATAAAAAGAAAACAAATAATTTCGGGAAAAAAAGGTTTTTTGGGCCATAAAATTTGGGGTTGGGGGCAAAGAAAGGAACCAAAGACAACAATTTAATTAAACACCCATAATTGGATTTTTACTGGTACTTAACAACCCTTAAACCTTTTAAAATAAACCCATGTCTCTATCCCTTTTAACATTTCCCCTTAGTTACTGTACTTTTAATTTTTTTTCCATTTGTTTAAAATACTAGCATTACTGTTTGGGATTAACCCCACCTTCCTCCAGGCCCCAAGCCTCTAAATTTAAACAGGGAAACCAAAAAACCCGAACAGGGGGTGGAAAAAGGAACAAAACCCCCCAAAACCCCTTTTTAACCCCCAAAACCCCCCCCCGGAAAAAAAAATAATCTTCCTTCCAAAAATTTTTAAAAAAAACCAGGAAAAGGGGGGAATGTTATTTGTTTTAAACGAAGTTACATGGAGGCCCCCTGACCCTTCCCCTTAACCCAAATTAAAGGGGGGGCCTTTAAATTACAGACCAGGCGGCCTTACCTTCAAGAGGAAAGGCCCCTACCAAACCTAACCCAAGAGAAACGGGCAGGGCCTCCCCCCCAAAAGGGGGGAAAAGGGGGCCTCCCCCCTTTAACCTCCTGGCCAAAGGGGGGTTCCTATTAAGGGAACAAAATTTCCTAAATTCCCACAGAAAAAAGGAATTCCCCCCAAACCCCCAATTTATAAACCCCTTTTCCTCCCTTAAAAAACCCACAGGGGGGGGCCCCCATTAAAAGAGCGGGAAAATTTTTACCTTTCCACAAGAAAAGGGCCCCCATTGAAAAACAAAACCCCAAATTTCCCCCTCCCCAACCCCAAATTTTAGAAAATTTCCTTTTTTTTAACCCTAAGGGCCACATTTTTACAAACCCCTTATTAAAGCCCTAAGAAGAAAAGGCCCTTTATTTTTAAATTTCCGAGGAAGGACGGTTTATTAAATTGGAACCCTTTTTAATTCCCTAACCCCCCCGGAGAAAACACGGGGCCCTTCCCCCCTTCCAATAAAACCCCCGGGCTTTGGTTTAAAAAAGGGATTTTTTAAGAGAGAGGGGAAAAGAAACAAGGGAAGGAATTACAAAAGAAGGGGGTTTACCTAAGGGAAAAGGTGTTACCCTATTAAAAAAACCCAAAAGGGTCCCCCCCTTTTTCAAAAACCGGGGTTTACCTTGGAACATGGGGAATTAAAAAACAGGGTCCTAAAAACCCCGAAAATCTTCCCCCTCCCTTACAAAACCACCCGGTTTTTCGAAACCTTCCTCCAAAAGGGTTTTCCCCTAACCCCCCACGAAACGGCATTTAAATTTATTCCAGGGAGGGGCCCTCCCCTTACCTACAAAAAACGGCCCAAGGGGCCTCCCCCACCTTCCCCCAAGAGAGAAAGGGCGGGTCCTCCTCCCCTTTAACCCTCACAGAGAGACGGCATTTTTCCTCCTCACCTTCACAGGAGACAGGCGGGTTTCCTTTCCTCCCCTTTAAACCCTCACAGAGAAGGGGGCGGGGTCCTCCTCCCCTTTCCCCACAAAAGACGGGAGGGTCCCCCTCCCCTTTAACCTCACAGAGAGACGGCAAGGGTCCTCCCTCACCTTCACAGAGAGACGGCGGGGTCCCCTCCCCTTAAACCCCTCACAGAGAGACAGGAAAGGGTTCCCCCTCACCTTCACAGGGGGACGGGCGGGGCCCTCCCCCCCAAAAACCCTCCCCGGAGAGGCGGGCCCCTCCTCCCCTTCCCCACAGAGAGACAGGCAGGGTCCTCCTCACCTTCACAGAGAGACAGGCAGGGTCCTCCTCACCTTCACAGAGAGACAGGCAGGGTCCCTCACCTTAACCTCACAGAGAGACAGGCAGGGCCCTCCTCCCCTTTAAACCCTCACAGGGCCCAAGGGAAAGGGTCCTTCCCTTAACCTCACAGAGAGACAGGCAGGGTCCCCCTCCCCTTTAACCTCAAAGAGGGGAGGGGGCGGGGTTCCCCCCCCACCTTAACCCAAAAGGAGACGGCGGGGGTCCTCCTCCCCTTTCACAGGAACGGGCAGGGTCCCCCTAAACCTTAACCTCACGGGAAACAGGAAGGGTCCCCCCCAACCTTCACAGGAGACAGGCGGGGTCCCCTCACCTTCACAGAGAGAAAAGGCGGGTCCCCTCACCCTTCACAAAAGGGGACGGGCAGGGTCCCCCTCACCTTCCCCGAGGGGACGGGCGGGTCCCCCCCCACCTTCCAAGGGGACAGGCAGGGTCTCCTCACCTTTCACAGAGAGCCCGGCGGGGTCCTCCCCCCTTTTCCCCACAGAGGACAGGCGGGGGACCTCCCAACCTCACAGAGAGACGGCGGGGTCCTCCTCCTTCACAAAAGGGGGACGGGAAAAAGGGTTTCCTCCTCCCCTTTAAACCCCTTCACAGAAAAAGACAGGCAGGGTCCCCCTCCCCTTTAAACCCCAAGAGAACAGGGCGGGGCCCTCCTACCTTAAAAACCTTCCCCCCAAGGAGACGGGAGGGTCCTCCTAAATTTAATCACAAGAGACGGGCAGGGCCCTCCCACCTTCCCACAGAGAGACGGCCCGGTCCCCCTTTCACCTCACAGAGAGACGGGAAAAGGGCCCCTCCTCCCCCTTTAACCTCACAAGAGAAAAGGCAGGGTCCTCCCACCTCCCACAAGGGGACGGGCGGGGTTCCTCACCTTCCCAAGAGAGCCCCCCGGGGCCCCTCCATCCCCTTTCCAAGAGACAGGCAGGGCCCCCTCCCCTTTCCCACAGAGAGACAGGCGGGTCCTTAAACTCACGAGAGACGGGCCCGGGTCCTCCCACTTCAAAAGGAGACGGCGGGCCCTCCTCACCTTAACCCACAAAGAAAGGGCCCGGGGTCCCCCCCTCCCCCTTAAACAGAGGGGGACAGGCAGGTCCCCCTCACCTTCAAGAGACAGGAAAAAAAAAGGGCCCCTCCTCACCTTCACAGAGAGACAGGCAGGGTACTCCTCACCTTCACAGGAGACAGGCAGGGTCCTCCTCACCTTCACAGAGAGACAGGCAGGGTCCTCCTCACCTTCACAGAGAGACAGGCAGGTCCCCCCCACCTCACAAGAGAAAGGGCAGGGTCCCCCTCACTTAAAACAAGAGACAGGCGGGGTTTCCCCCCCCTCACCATTTCCCCCTTCACAGAAGACAGGAAAGGGCCCCTCCTCACCTTCACAGAGAGACAGGCAGGGTCCTCCTCACCTTAACCCTTTCACAGAGAGACAGGCAGGGTCCTCCTCACCTTAACCTCACGGGAAAGAAAGGGCCCGGGTCCCCCCTTAACCCTTTCACGAGAGACAGGCAGGGTCCCCTCACCTTCCAAACCCAAGGGGACAGGGGGTCCCCCCTCCCCTTTAACCCCTCACAGGGGAAAAAGGGGCAGGTCCTCCTCATTTTCACAGAAGCCCGGCGGGTCCCCCCACCTTAAACCTAACCAAAAGAGACGGGCCGGGGGTCCCTTTCCCCACCCAACCTAAACCCCCCAAGAAACGGCAGGTCCTCCTCCCCTTTCACAGAGAAAACGGGCGGGGTCCTCCTAAACCTTCCCCCAAGGGGAAACCCCCAGGTTTCCTCCTCACCTTCACAGAGAACAGGGGGGGTTTCCCCTCCCCTTTCCACAGAGAGACAGGCGGGGTCCCCCTAAATTCACAGAGAGAAAGGGGGTTTCCTCCTAAACCTTAAACAAAAAGGAAAGGGCGGGCCCTCTCCCCTTTCACAGAGGGGAAAAAAGGGGGGGTCGTCCTCACCTTCCCACAGAGAGACAGGCGGGGTTTTCCTCCTAACCTCACAGAGAGACGGGCGGGTCTC